CTTCTGTTGAATCGTTCTCCAGGAAATTGTTTGTATTTTGCATTTTGATGCAGAACAACAATTTCACCCATTTTTTTTTACAAAACAGAGTTTTATTTTAAAAATAATTAAAAAGTCATGGAGTCCAAATAATTACAGCACCACTTCTAACATAAATATAAACATAAATTTAGCTTTTAATCAGGCTATTTCTCTTATTCATATAGTAGTTTTTAAGTCCAAGAAGAAGTCCTGTGAGGAAAATAAGCATCAGCATCATGGCAAAGCATTTCTGCACTGGAACTGCAGCACACCACTGAGGCTGAAAAATACTCAAGGATTCATACATAACAAACCTAGTTCCAGCCATCCCGAAACTTCAGCGGATGGGTGGAAACCAGGCTTTTCGAGCCCTGGCAAAACATTCTGAGCTGTTTGATGTGGTCGTCAAGCTAGAAATTTGTGCTTATTGCCATTACATCTTTTGATGTAGAGCAGCAGAAAGCAGCGGATACATTATACATTACAGCTGTGATTCATTGACTTGCAGGCAAAATAAGTAAATTTGTTCCCTCTTGTCTTCCTCCTCACAGTTGGTCTAAGGGTTGAACATGCACGTCTGAATAAATGCAGCTTTCCATGTTGTACTCCCATGCACTGATACAGTGTCTGAAGAGCACAGTTACAGGCAAGCACTTGGGATAGAGGATGGGTTTTGATTTACATATTCACAAATTTGCGCATACTGAATGAGGCCAGTGTTACATCTAAGCCATTTTAAGGCATGAAGGGATTAGTGATTAACAGCGATGAGTTTTATGGGTTTAATAAATTCCAGTAGCAGAACTTTGAAAGCAAAGGACTGAAGTTGTGGTAATATAACCCTTTATTAATTTAGGAGCTTAAAATGAAATAGTTTTCATAATGGCTGTTGTGCCTCTGAAACGTGCACATGGTTGTTCAGCATTGTGCAGATGCATCAGCCATGATGATATCAGACAGTGACAGCTCAAACTGTGACATCACGTTGTAGCGTTTCCTTGTAAAAAAATGTAAACTATCATACTACCTTTATAACTTTATACGTTACGGTATCCCTGTTTAAGTTGTTTTGTTTGTTTTGTCTCCAAACCATACAGACAAAGAGTGACCATCTAGCTGGGTCAAATTGTTCTCTAAATCTAAAAGTACTTACTTAAAAGATTTAGTTTCAACAGGCACAGCCAAATACTGCTCAGCTCTCAGTGCCAAAAGGAGTCGCATCCAAAGCCTTCTAAAACTTTGTATGGCCTGATACAAAAATGACAAATGCAATGACAAGAAAATGACAATGTCTTATTTTGCTAATATGGATGAACTTCAAATGATTTTCTTCTTTTTGTTGTCATGGATTTTGTTTCTTTTCTATTTTATTGCTTGATTGAATCTAACATAAGTGTCATTTTTATAAATCCAATGGTTTTAGAGTTAAACCAAACTCTGTTTTGGAAATTAAAAACAACACACAGCATTGATGTTTGAAATATTTGTCTAATATAAGACAAAATGATTAAAATTGAAAAGGTTTATCACTGAGACTGCATTTTGAATTCATGTACCGTTTTCTGTGGGGAAAATCTGAAAGAAATTCACTGCTCAGAGTGGAGTTCTTCCCTAACAAAACAAAGCCCATTGCACCATCTGGTGCCTGCAGACTGACAAATCCCATGGCATGTAAAAATTAGAAAATATTCTATGCACAGTTTTTCGTCTTTATTTATTATCTACTCATAATGAGCATAAAGTATATACAGGAGAAAGATGTTGGGAAACTACTACTACTACTGCCAAACCAAAAGTCTGAACACTAGTACACTAGAACCAATTCTAGTACAGGAGATACCCTGTTGTTAATCTTAAGTGTCCTGTGCTCCCTTTCCGTGCTATGAATATCCTTGTTTTTCCATCTTCCGCTTAACTCTAAATTTTGTTTTTCAGAAGACTGGATTTGCCTTCTACTTAGGTAACGTGCCATGCAAACACAATATTTTTGCTTTTCAACATTCTTTACATGTGAAAATCATCATAGTCATAATGCTTAATTAACCACGTAGACAATGTTAGAAATGACCTCACGCCCAAAAACTAAAAAAGCATGTAACAGAAAACCAAGATGAAAAACATAAAACCAAGAGTAATCATGATTAACTGGCTCTGTGTCCCCCTGAAAACATCTCCACCCACCTTTTGTTGCATGTGGATTTAATGGATTCAGCTTTTTAGATAACAGACAACAATGATGGAACGATGGAATCCTCATCTTTACAATGGAGATTTATGCCAGTTTTTCATTGCTCTTTCTAAACTTTCCGCTGATCAAATGTGTTTGACATGAAGCATCACAATGAACTCTCAGTCCCTCTAACCCTCTAACCCATGAAACATTAACACTCCCAATCCCAGAACTGCAGTGTGACAGTGTCTGTAATCAATGAAATCTGACAGAGATAATGACAGGCAATTTAGAAATTATTAAAAGACCATAAATCTCCCTTTGACTGTACTGTGTGCGCACCAGTGTGTTGTATTGCGATGTGTTGATCACAACAGTTAGCTCAAATATGTGGCTGTGACTCAGTGAAACTGGTTACCAAATATGTTTCATATTTTCCATTCTTATTATATAGTAAAGATTCAGTGTCAGTTTTGACTGTGGAGGGACAGTATACAGGAGCCAGGAGCTGGTTTGAATGCTTCTGTTCCAAACTGCGTAGCTTGTCGGTACAGTGATGCAGGTGTGTGACTTTGCAGTCGCTCATTTGGGACACAGTCCCAATGTTACAGAGCTCCCTTGGGTGGAGGTCATTGTACATCTTTCTGCACTGATGCTTATTACACCAGCCTGATAATGCTAAGAGTGACTCAACACTGCCACGTAGTTTGTCCTGTGAAACAGCGGTCAGTGAAGGGCATCTGGACACACTCTCAGAGGACTAAGAATAGTGGACAAAAGGTTCAGGGGACAGAAAAACACAGCACACCAATAAGCCAAAGAACACAGACAAGAAGTGTGTCTCATCAATTCCTATCTGAGAAAAATAGGGGTTCATAGAGAATGGGAATCATTGAGATTGAGATGATACAAAGCTATCATATGATGTGACCTTTAAAAAAACAGGAAAGGATAGTTGCTAAAGGCATGTCAAAGCATTGACAACCTTTCATTTCCCTGTACTGACCTCTGCTGGCAGTAACCTTGTGTCATGCATTGACTAAATAAGTGAAAAAAATTGTATAATTAAGGAAAAACTTTGTAGCAAAACCTTTTCTTTCTCATACACCATATAAACCTCCTATTTGTGCTGCTTTTTAAGTGTCTCTTCTATCCATCCCGTGGCAACGGTGAGTACCTTTACACTCGCATGACTCACCATGACACAGAAAGAAACACTGAAACACAGTTTCCCTTGCTATAAAACCTAAGGCAAGGTAACCACATCCTCATAAGCCCAAGTATGAATATACTTGTTAAAGGAATGACCGATGTGAAATACTCATCCGTATTTGTGTGTATGAATGACAGTTATGCAATATGTCATTCGCCTCATTAAAAGTTAGGTCTGCTGTTATCTGGTCAGACAAGCAGGTGGCCACTTCAATGTCATCAAATGTCTCAGAGGTGGACAGCTGATAGGAGGAGACCAGACTTCATTAGCAGGTCAATCACTTCCTCCCAGACAACATCTGGAGGACACACCCACAATCCGGCTGCCACTATAGTCCTCTTAATTTCCCCATATGTTGAAGACAGCATTAGAAAAAGAAGAGGAAAACATTGTCAAAGGCTGTGTCAGAGCACAAATTGTTGAATTAAAACTTGCTGGCAGCCTAAATTTCGGAGCTCTTCATATTTTGCTTCTGCTTGATCTTTACAAAACTTGATTTGGACCCCTAGAAAATCAAGTGATGCCATTCAGCATGGTCTCGCAGACAGACAGACAAGCAGTTACAGAATTTTTGGCACTTCATGCACACACCCTGTTGACAATGATACATTTACACAAGGTCAAAAGAGAAAAGGACAACAAATGAGAAAAAAATATATATGTCAGCCGACCCAGCCATAGGCAACAGGAAACCGTCTCCCATCAAAGCTGAATGTTTTTTTTTCTTTTCTGTTTCTCTCAACTCATAAGCAGGTATGGCTTTGGCCATGTGATCACCCATCCCACAACTGATAGTCTTATTTCTATAATTACCTCAATGAAACCATATCTAAATGAAGAAGTAGCCAATGAGTGGGATTTTTCAGAGCATAAATGTAAAAATATCTATGTAGGAAATGGATAACAGAAAATGATTATGGGAAATGTGTCATGTTATGTTTATGTATTTAGTTTGTCCTCAGGGCTGTTAAAGATGCTTTGGGAATCCGTTGAAGTAAAGCAATGTATTTCAAATTAAAATGGGTGGACAGGAGTTGTTGAATAGGTCGGGCCTTGATCTTTCCTAAGAGAGGATGGGGTTTTATGGATTAAACTCCGCCCGGTCGCACGAACTTGTGATACTGCCATTTGGCCAGAGAGGGGAGTTGAAACACCACGAGACGCAAGCTCACCTATCCACGATGTGTTTCATTTTGGTTTCAAATTTTGATCTACGGATTATTTCAAGACTAGTCAAATTAGACACTTTTTGGATTATTTAACTGCTTTATGTCTTCCTGACTTGAAAACTTCACTGCAGATGCAGACATCAATTTACATAAGTGAACACGCCCATCAGGACAAGTTTAACATATATAGCGTATCTAAAAAAAAAAAAAACTCGACAGTTCGTCCCATTAAACAAGAATGGGCAGAAAATACAAGGTTGGACGTCTTAAACAAAGAGGTTTATCCCACAGACCGGGGAACGCCTTTATCTCCTCCCCCTAGCGGCAGACCCGGCGGCTATTGGCCAACGTTACGCACTACGCTTCTCTGATTGGCTGCGCGCTTGGTCGTTGAGCGTCTGTTGTTCACGGTCGCCAGAGAGCAGGAGCGCCTCTGACAGTGGACGGCTTTGATTCATGGTGTTGTGGAGTCTCATTTTTGGGTTTAGAGAACAATTAATGCCACCAGACTGCAACGCATGAAGGTATGTTCCCACGGTCCGCTGCGAGTTATTTTACAGGTTTTTTCTAAATGCATATCTCAAGTTTGAAGTTGCTTATTCGTGATAATAACCAAAGTAAACATAGATTTAGGTCTTTCACTAAATCTGGACTTTTTTTGTACGGTAAACTAATGCAATGTAATATAATGTGAAGCAATAAATCATTTTATGTTGAATTAATTGAGAAACACTGCAGTGGATCCAGGTTGTAAGATGAGTTCAGTTCCAGGCTAATGGGTGTGAGTACTTCACCAAAAGTGATGCAGTATTGATTATACCATTATCACGAAAGGCAATCCATTCATGATAGCTAATGTGATATTTTTGCCAGGTCTTTGACAGTTAGCAGTTGAAGAGAATGTTCCCAAAAATAATGATAGTGCCATGTGTCAGACAAAGGCCCAAGAAGGCAGGTGGATCCTCTGATCCTCAGCAAGCGCTGCAATCATGTGCTGCATGGAACACACTGAGCACTCTTTTATCATCGGCGGAGATCTTTCCATGCTTCCAGTACACCTGGAATTATTTGCCATCTTTTGTTGATAAAACTGTCTCTCATGATGCTAGCAGGTGAACACACAGAGACCTCTGATAAAGCTTATCAGTTACGTATTTTGTATTGCGTTCTGTATTGACTTCCATTACTGATCCAAGAACTGTTTTTTGCTTATTTTCCTAAACATAAGGCATCATGGCGAAATCATCTATAAATTTATATTGGCTGGCACTTGTTTCATCTATCAGTGGTCGCACAGCAAAACCACAACATTACCACATACAAGTATGAGAGCTTCAAAGCGAGTTTTCAGCCGTCTACCCCTGAGTGATGATCCCCATGGTGTGGGTATCCTTGGAATGCGGGAATGATTTTCCATGGTAGATGACTTATAAGCCTGGATATCCAGTGACATACATGGGCTTTGGCCAACAGCTAAAATGCACTCCAACCCTGCACTAATATCAGAGTAATTGTGGTTTGCTAAGATGGAGAGCCATGCTCATAATACATGTGACAAGTTAGTAGCCAATAATTATTGCAACTACTGATTCACACTCTGTTGCTTTGCTGTTAGTGTGTGGTGAGCCACAGAATGCAACCAGGAATTTTAGAGACATAGAGAATGTTCTAGAACATTTCTGTAAGAAAGTAAACACTCATAATCTCTGTGGGAGCTAGAACTAAAGGACAGACTTGTTAAAATTAGGACAAATGCAGTTGCTTTCAATATAAACAAAACCCAAAAGAGGAAGCAGATTAGAGAAACTTATTTACAAAGACCAAAATATACTTAGATGACTTAATAGATATAAAAGGAGTTAAAGTTATTTCTTCTGGCCGTGGCTTTTTTTTAAACACATTTGACTGGCAGTTGTTATCACTGTCACTGCCCCAGGTGTTGTGTTTGGAAGTCCGGCAGTTTCTGGTGAAACGCTGTGTCATGAAGCTTATTGTGGCAGCCCATCATTTTTATCAAACACCACTGGGTGTTAGCAACAGGCTCATTATTTTGAGTCTGTTATTTTACATCACGAATTGCACTCATGCCTTGTCAAACACATGGTCAACACGCAGAAGCCTTAATCTGAGGAATGGACGTCACTTCAGTGCTTGAGTTAAAAGCAGGAATTTTTCACGAGTGCTTCGTCTTACTCACAACTCTATGGATGATGTCAGCTTGGAGAGATGTATTTTGTCTGGCCCCTGGGACAGCAATATATCCGTGCTGATGAATCACAAAATAAAGTGGATTCAAGTGCATGAGGGCTTAGACGTCAAAAGTTTGACGAGAGAAAGGCTTCAAACAATCAAATGTACTCAAGCCATTGTTTTGGGATTTGGAGGAATGGAAATTTGGGGCTGAACAGAGCAGACCAATGTCCTCAGCCCCTTTGCCGCTTAATGTGCAGATATGCTAATAGTTCCTGTTTATAACCCTTCACACAATCTAGTGAGGCCACAGATGGGACCCTAAGTACCACTGAATGTCACCTCTGTATCACTCACTCAAAATTAAACATAAAGAAGTCCTTTCTATTTACCATAAACTAATACTAAAGCCCCAAATTTCCTGATTTCTTCACACATAAGAGTATTCTGGTTTAACGCTATGTTTGTTTGCTTTGTTTATTAATCTATTTCCTATCTTTTTCATTTCAGGTAGAGAAGATGAATGTGGAGGCTCTGAGCAGAGCAGAGTTGCTGACTCTCCTCAGTATACTGGAGGGAGAACTTGAGGCCCAGGATGTAGTCATTCATGCTCTCAGGGTGAGTTTGAAACAACAAATCCCCAATGGACTCAACAGTCATGCTTATTAAAAACATACCCATAGTTTTTGTATGCTAATAATAGGATAACATATTCAGACTTGTTTTAACTATATAACAAAAATTGCACTTTTTGGTACTCCAATGAATTTCTCGTAGCATTACACTACCTAAAAGAATGTGAGCAAACTGGGAGGGGATGTGTAAACAGGAACGTTAGGAAACAGAGCTTGTGAAGACAATGGCGTGGGGGTCATTCTGGTTTCCGAGGCCTTTTATTTGTACAGAGCAACAGTATTATTACTGGTCACACCAGTCTCTGGCATTGTTCAAATGTGGATATGAGCATGTTATGGGTGGTTCAAACGAACAGTTCAAAGATGTCTTAGATGTTTCTTATCCCTTAATTAGTATTTTCCTTGGTTTGTGATACATGAAAGCCAACTTTCTGCTTAAGAAGAGTCAAAGCAGGTGACCCCGTGCAGCATATTTTCTCAAGTGCATACCTTAAAACCTTACCAGAGCTGTTTTGCCAGTATCCAGCTGTGATTGGAATGTGAGACACAGGCTGTGAGACTGAGTATGGATGCATTTCCATTCACGTTGTGCTTTCTGTGAGGGTCTATGCGACATAGACAATCTGGGAATGCTGTCATTTTACCCAGCTTCCCTCACTAAAGTGTGCATCGTGATGAAAACCTCAGACTATACTCAGCAACAACCTTGCAAATATCTACAGTTAAACGGCTTTTACTTGTACCTTCAGTCCCTCTTTTTTATGTGTGGCTTGTTCGCTCACATTCGAGTGAATAATCATAGCTGTCCCTCAACAACAACGCTTTTCAGTGTGTGTCTATTCCAATTAGCTCCCTCCATGCCAATGGCTGCTTTTCACACTCATGACTACTGCAGCTGTCCCAAGCATGGATGAGAATTCTAAGGCCTCCAATGCTTGAGTCATTGTCTGAAGTAGTGAATGTGGGCCTGTGATAGTGCCAACCAGGACTATCTCACTGTAACAGATAAGCCTCCACAAAGAGTTTATCTAAAAAGCTAGCAAGGCTTTCTTCACATGAAAATTTCAGTGCCGGGGTTTGAATGAAAGCCATACCAACTACACCACACAACGCAGATCTGTAGCAGCCAAAATTTGAGTAAAATTCCAAGAACACACCCAATCATCCCCTTAGGACAAATGCATCCATGTATGCTTGCCTTGTTGCCAGTACTCTGCAAGCACATCCCCATTACAGGGGGTCTTTCATGTTCAGATATGACCCATGTCCTGTCTGCCTGCCCACCCACCCACGTGCACACACACACACACACACTCAGATATTTTGGTGGTCTCTGCTGAGCCACTTACTGTAGTGATTCTTGGGAAGAGGATGTGCAATGTTGTAGGCTGAAATCACTGACTTCCTTTGTTCCCGCTGGGGGCCTGCACAGAAAATGACTCAATGGTCAATGCTAGGGCAGATTGTGTGAAGGGGGGGGGGTGTCAGGGCTCAATAGTGGGTTAATGCATCCCGTATTGAGCTGTGTTTTTCACCCAGGAAGTCCTGCTATAACATCTTTCCCCATTTCATGCCTCGAGCTACAACAGCAACGTTTGTATCTAACCAGTGTGTGGCCCGAACACTGTGTGTAATGTGCGTGATTTAAAAAGAAGCTCTAAAGTTTTCTTTCCCTTTGAAGTTGTTCTCATCACAGCAGCAAGTACTTAGAATATCTGTAGATTGTTCAGGGAAGACTACACAGAAGACTTGAAACAGTTTCCGTGTTGTCTCACATTCAAAATGAGACAGCAATAAGACGTGTCTGCAGATTTTCAGCCGTATTGTTTCTAGTTGTCATAGCACAGTTAAGTTAGCAGTTTTACCAGAGGGAGCATTCCTTAGATCTTACAACAGGCAGCTATTGTATTCCAAGAGGTGTGGCAAATCTTATGAGCTGACAAACGTCTTTATCTATATGGAGGTAATGCTATTTTTATCCATTATAGAGGAAGCTCTTTGTAACTCAATAGTCAGTTAGAGGTATGGGAACCAATCCATTTGAAATACTTTTTTTGTGCCCTCTATGATTTTCCTCTTCACATTGGACTGACCGAGCAAACCAGTGAACACCGTTGTAAACAAATGGGTAAATCTTCTGTGACCACAAAATAGAATGAGATCTTTGATCAACTGGTTCCAAACATCTAGTTAACGATGATTATTGTCTAAATCACAAATGTTTCTGTGTGTGAAAGGACTTTGCTATTTTTACTTACCTACATGATAAGATCTGTGTGTTCAAAAGGTTGTTTTCACTCTCAGCAGGACCTTTTTTGTTATTCATATGATGTCATGTCCTATGATGATAAAATGGTTTGTCTATTTTTGCAGGCTGATGTGTTTTCCTGACTCCTAAAACAATAGGGCCATGGCAAGGGTGTGTTGTTGAGATAAGAGCATGTACGCTTTTACTACTTTAGAGTCCCCACCAAATTTGGATATGTTATCGGGATATGTTGTTGAAATACAGACATAGAAAAGAGCTCAGGCTACTAAGAAGTTGGCCTTTTAAATAAAATAGGGCTTATAATAATGATGTTAAAGTGCATTTTGGTCTGTGATGTCCAGATGAAGTCAAAGTGTTTTGTGTGAACACAACATTCACAGCTACGGCTAGTCAATTGGAGCAACGTAGACTGAATTCTGTTGTGTATGTTAAGCATTTTTACGATAACTTCTCTTATATCTAGACTCAGGCTGATGTGGGTGGGTATATATCATGACCCTTCCCTGCTGTTTTTCTCTACAGTGGAGAGTATTTTCCTGTAACAAAAAGATTAAAATAATGAGTTCAAGATCCCCATTGAATAAAGGCAACAGCCATTCCAACGTTTTTTCACGTTCAGGTACAAACTAGTTGGCCTGTTGGATTAATTTTGACTCATTCTCAAGCTATGCCAAATTACCTCCTTGTTCCATTCAATGATCCCACCTCTTATCCCTTTATGAAAGCAGTCTCTGGCCAAAGGGTGAGAGTACCTGCTTCTGCGTTTCATTACTGACCACTGATGATAACATTGTAAGCAGTTAAACATTACTTTGCATTTTGTTCTGTTATCTCGGTGCAGTCTGTGGTTAATGTGTGGGTGGAGGGTTTGGCTGACATGGCTTGAGCTTTAAGTACACACCTCTTTACACTTCTTAAAGTTAAGTCCTAAAATCTAATCTGCTCCTCTCTGTGTCTTTTGTTTCATTTGGAAGCTGAGAACCTGTTTCAAATGCAAATACCTTATTCAAGTAAAAAATTCCATGCTAACTTTTGGACTTGGAAAGGATTTGTATTATTTCCTACGGTCTTGGCAGCATCCCTCCCAGGTTTTAGTGCTGATACAATGTTTAAAGCAGCTGTTGACATTGAAACCTACTTTCTGCTATTGATGGCAGCTTATCGATTTATATTATTAGGACAAACTAACCCGTAAGGCTCTCAATGATGAAAGTGAAAAGGAAAATTAGTTCAGGCTAACTTAGCGCTGTTGTCTACACATGATTACTGTATTGACGTGCAAATTCATTTTACTGGCAGCTCAATCCTAGTAAATCTTCAAAAATAATGTTCATTTTTATTCCATCCCTGAATTAATATTTCTCATATTTGAAAATATTGTTGTTCTTCTCTTTTCTTATATTTTAGCTGATGCCTTGTAATTAAACAAGTATGGCCTCTCACAGAGTCAGAACAGCTGTATTTACTCAGAACCTTCACACTGACAGTTTTAACACCATTCAGTCTCTGAAAGCAGTCCTGGAAACTGTGCTTGACTCAACCGTAACAACATAACCTTTCCGTTTGAATTTGAAATCACAGCCAACAGCCAAATTGTTGAAGCATGACAGAGACTTAGATGATGTCCATATCAGCGCAGAGGGATTTCATAATGAATTCAATTTAACTCCTAAGAGCAGTGTCAGCTCAATACAGTCAGTTATTGTGGGAAAGTTTGACTTAACAAGTTCACTGCAATAAAATATTATTCCTCAGAACACCTTAGATACATATTATAAATTCCAGCTTAACTAAAAAAATTAAACGCTGCATTGGAAAGACGAGACAAAATGAGAGCTTCAAACTTTAACTGGAAACAAAATCTCCATAATCGCTTGTGGCAAAAACTTCAAATGAAGATATTTAATTAATTGTATAATCCTATTGCTGCTTTGATTAATCTGTTTAGTGCTGCTAAATTAGCTGTTAGGTGGTTAGTTAAAAAAAAAAAGATCAACAATTTGTTGTTGCCGTATAAAGGCAACAGTTTAATTTGATGTTTTGAAAGATGTTTCATATTTGAAGCCATGATTCCTCTTACATGCAGTATGTCAAAAATTACCATGAACTTTTTGCAAAAACAATTGCAGTATAAAAATGTCTGTACAGGAGAATGTTTTATATGTGAATTATAAGTACAATTCCAGTGTCAGATGTCATTGTCCAGTATTAAGTAAATAAGAGCAGCCTTAAATTTAAGACGATTTTCCAATCTGCCCTGTATCTAAAATGTTAGATAAAGTGAATGTTTTTGTCATTTTTTGTCATCAGCCTCAAGCACCGGTGTACCAGCAAACTATGTTTCCAGTGCCAAAACCACACTAAAATTATACAGAGAGACCTTTTTATAACTGGCATGTAAGAAAAAGACAGTGATTTTACGTTTCTTAAAGGTGAGATACACACTGTAGACCATATCAAGAGACAAACTGAGGAGTTGTTGTATCTTTGTAATCCGATATTTGCACTCAGGACCATTCTATGCTGAGCTGTGATTTTGTCTGTGCTCGCTGCTGAGTTCATTGTATGACAGTCATTAAAGAGGCTCACTAAGGAAGCTGTACTCTGTGGCTCTGCTCGGCTCACAGAGGCCATGTTTGTTCCCTGAGGCTGTAGGTAACTGCCTGTCAGACAAGCTTTCCAGGTGAAAGCTATCAGTTGTCTCTCACACCTTGTTAAAGCAGGATTGTATTTGAGGGAAACATGCTCCAGCACATCCATTTCAGATAGCAAAAAAAAAAAAAAGGAAAATTCCCAAAATACACTTGGAAATTGTTTGCATGTGATGTATTCTTTTCCACAACTTGCTATAAGTAACATTTGTCATCAGCAGCTGGGCAGGAAAGAGAGCTTTTCAACTGACAGGGTTCGCTCGTAGTGCCCTCTCATAAAGGAAAGCACACCCTGTCATTATGATCAGAACTATCCTGACAAAAAAACATGAGAGAGAGAAAGAGAGCAGATTCTGGTCTTGGGCTTCTGCACACACACATACATGTAGAGCTCAGCCCCTAATGGTCTGTTTAAAGAGTTATTTAACTGGGCAAACTGCATTTTTGTCCCCAGCTAAAAAGAGAAGCTTTATATCTCTACTCCAACTGCTGACACAACCACACAAAAATACACAATCATTTCCACACACATTCAAGTTCTCTAGAAAAAGCAAAAAGAGGCAAAAACATTCTCCACATATGCTCAACACGTTCTCACTCACAGAGGCCCACTGGGTCAGACCTGGAGACAATAAATAAGACTGAAGACTTTGTGTAAGTTCTGTAATCTCCTCAATAAGGGTCACATTCTTTGTTCAGCCAGAGAAAATGCCTCAAATAAAGCGCCTCTACTGAACCCTCTTGGTTTTGTGCGTTTCTGTGGTGTGTGTGTGTGTGTGCATGTGTGTTTTGCAGTGTACCAGAGTCTGTTATAGGAAGGTATTGGAAACATAGAAGCAGAATGATGGATTTGCCTTTAAAACAGTGATGAACCAGCGCAGGAATGCAGTGATATGTGAGTTTGTGCAGGGGGGTGACGGGGGCTGGAGGATGGGGTGTCTGATGAGGACTCCATGAGAAGGCAGAGACGGGTGTCCTGAAGGCATTTGGAGTAAACCCTCTTTGAATGAGCTTGCGCCACTTGGTCTCCAGGCTGACCCTGAATGCCTCTACAACTCAAAGCTACTAATGAGACCCCCTGATGACTCTGACCAGTAGTGAGGTCAGCAAAGGCCTATCATGTTTCACTCTAATGAGCCTGAAACATGTCAGTTACAGTACACTCAGCTCAGTGGGCTGTAATGTTTCATACCCTCCGATTTACTTTTGGTATTAAAACAAATGTATTGTAATTTAGTGATAATGTGTCCTCTTATTAAAACCAATTTGAGCTTATGTGTGTGTGAGACAAGCATTTAATGGCCCAGTCTTTACCCTTGCATCCCCAGGGAAGAGTTAACATCTGCCCTTTGTGGGGGGTTGGACAGCCGTGCCTCACCTCTTTGTGTTTGGGTTGATGGGAAAAGCCATCTGCTCGTGCCTGTTCTGACGAGCGAAGATCTCCCAAACACATACAGATGATAAGAGTGGGCATGTGAACTTAAATGGATGTTGCTGACGTCTTTTACTTTTACTGGCAGTGGCAGCAAAGCTTCATAATTGTGTGCTGTGCAGCAGTGTTTGACAGGAATCCTCATACCATCAAACCTACTCACTGAACAGTATTTCCTAAACACCTTGGATTCTCTTCAGTCAGGACGGAACACGTGGGTGCTCCTTTTGTTATTACATTCACATGATATGTGTGTTTCTTTAAGGCCCGGCACAGAGATGCTTTTGTCCAGGAGCGCTACGGACAATACAACCTCAGCGATCCCTTCCTGGCTCTGCAGCGGGACAACGAGGCCGCCGAGCGCCAGCACACGCTTTCTCAACCTCACACGCACCTGCAGGGCCGAGCAGAGGGCCCGAACCCTCTGGCTGTGCTCAAACTGGTCATGACTCACTGCAAGAGGATGCAAGAGAGGATGATGGGACAGCTGGCGGCGGCTGAGAACCGGCACAGGCGGGTAGGTGGTCCACACTATGCGGTCAGCTCACCGGGTTATCGCATCACTTTTGCAAGAAGGGTTATCACAGTGGCACTCACACTCATTAAACAAGTATTCACTCTGTCTGAATCTTTTAGTTTCCATGTTTCTACTGAGTGACTGAATCAGACAAGTAGCAGCAGCACCCAGAGCTTAAAGGGGTTATATGGAGTGTATCACAGCAACACAACACAGTCAAAACTGTATTATCAGTGTGTGATCTTCATTTCTTCATAAGGGGGGATCCTAAAGGGAACACCCTTGTCTTTCACCACCATACAACTCATACATTCAACAGGAAAATGATGTGTTTTTGTTGTTTTGCTGAAACTCCCTGTTTAACCTCCCTAATCATCAAAGTAAGCCGAGTTGCTGTTGTGTGGATTCTATCAAATTCTATCTCATTAGCCCTTGTAAGCAGGCCCGACTCCATGTGACACCTTAGTTTTTAACTTGGCTGTATGTTTTACAGGTGATGTCTGATCTGGAAAAGGAGAAGCAACGTCATGCCCAGGACTCTGCACGGCGAGCTGATTTTGTCGTCATGCTGCAGACAGAGAGAGACAAACTGCTGCAGCAGGTGTGACTCGCCTCTGTGTGTGTCTGTACTCCAAATTCAACTTGTCTTTAATATAAAAAAAGTGCTCACTTGTGAACAGATGAGTACATTTGATGGATCTGCTTCCTTTTCCTTTCCCTCTCCTGTCTGCACAGTCTCGGTTTTCATTGTTCGAGTTGTGATTTAAAACCCAGTGATTGAGGAGACGAGAACCAGTTTAGCTCCACGGCGTAACCCAGTAGGGAGGAGAGGGCTCAGCCCTTTTAAATGAAAGACCTACACACACACAGGCACTCTTACAGTATGCACAAGCACAAATCTGTTCCAAGGGAAACAGATGAGGAAGAGGCCATTGTTTAGTTGTCCAGCAGCCATAGGGCTTTATGGCCTCAGGAAATCTGAGATAATGGATGTCCACGTCTAATGCGAAGTCAGCTGGTGCACACACACTGTGAGCACATAACAGACTACTACAGGGGCCTTATGTAAGAAAAGCTCCCAGAGTGTCTTCCTGTGGCTTTTCCTGCCTGTGGTGCTTTTCTCTTTTTCTTCCTTTCTTCTTTTTGCAAAGTGCCCATTTACACATACAATTTTACTACCTCTCATTTCCTCTTAATACCCATAACTCCCCCCATAAAAACAGCCCTGTCACCCTCTAATGACCTCGCAGCAAACAGAACCTTCCATAAACATGCCATGCAAGCAAATAATTCCTTTGTTAGATGAGCCATGGACAAGAGTACCTTTCATCGTGTTATCTGATGTTCAGCAGACATATATTTCACCCTTTTCTTAATTTCATTTATGATACATTTATTAACATTTTTTAGCATAGGCTTTTTTAGGTAACATATTTCATTTCAGCCAACATGGTGCATATATTAGGCAAACAGTAGAATAAAGTGCAAGGTATTGCTTGTTTGACATTTTAATGAAATAAATGCTATTTTGCCACCTTGTGGTCAACTATGGAAAAGCCGCCACGCTCTGATGCATTTCTCCGGTTCTTTCTCTAGTTGGAGGCAGAGCACACCACGGTGCTGAGACTGGAGAAGGAACAGGCGCAAGTGGTGAACAAGGTGGAGGAGTCGCTGTCGGAGCAGCAGCAGCTCTCCTCCAACCTGACGGTGGAGCTCCAGAGGGCCAGCAGCCAGGCTCAGGAGGAGGCTCAGAAGGCCTCGCACCTCCGCGCGTTACTGCAGGAGGAGACCAGTACGCTGGAGAAGCTCCGGGAAGTCCTCGAGGGTGAAAAGAGCAGGGCGGCCCAGCTGGAGGCTAGGTCAGAGAGGCAGCAGGCTGAGTACGACGCGGAGAGACAGCAAATAAAAGCCAGGCTTGAAGCGGAGGAGGAAAAGAGCAAGCAGCTCCAGAAGCAGGTGGAGGAACTGAGGAAGAGACTGACTGAATCTCAAGGATGTAAAGAAGAGGTGAAGGAGGCGGTGATGGAGGCAAACAAGTCACATCCCAAGAGGATGGTGTCCACCGCCGTCCAGACCGAGCTGGATGGAAAGGTGACAGTGATCCCTAAATCCACAACACTGCCAAAGGTCAACGGCCTTCACACTCATAAAGACACAAGCTCATCGCAGGAGGGAAGAGGAGCAGAAAATGGAGTTGACACTGGAGTTGGAACACCTTTGCAATTCCCCGCTCATACTCATCCTCATCCTCACTCCCCCTCCAGCACTGCGTCGTCCTCCCTCTCCTCTTCCCCCATTTCCTCTCCAGTTCTGGCCAAGCGTCTGGGAAGTCCAGGCTTCCATCAGTCCTCCTACCAGGCCGGGGTCAATCAGAGATTCCAGGCTGCCAGGCACAAGTTCCAAAGCCAGGCGGAGCTGGAGCAGCAGCAGGGTGGGCCCCTCTCCCCCAGAGACCTGTCCCCCACCACCTCATCCACCCCTCCTCCACCGGAGCACAGCACAGCCAAACAGCTGGCCCGAAACACCGTCACCCAGGTGCTGTCCCGCTTCACCAGCCAGCAGGCCGGAGTCAAGTTGGCACCGGTCAGCAGCTCTCCATTTGGAACAGACTACCGTAATATAGCAGCCTCTCCTCCGGGGGGAAGGTCGCCCTCTTCAGGTCCATTATCTCCAGGGATCCGCTCCCCCCTCACCCCTCGCTCTGAGAAGACTCACCCTCCTCCAATCCCACCCAAGAGGCCGGGGATAAGTCCGACTCCAGGCTCGCCAATTCATTCCGCTCGGATAACCCTTTTCCCCGAGCTGACGGGGAACCTCGGACACAGCAACAGCGGGCAGGAGGCAGCCAAGGAATCAGACCTGGTTTTATCCTCCAGCAGCTAATGGTCCAACATAAACTCATTACTAAACGTTTTAGGACAGTTAGTATTCAAATTCAAATTGGAGTTATCTCTTGGCTATCCCTTCCTGACTTTATAGTGTGCATTTTTTTTTAAAGAGATGCTGTGTTTATTACACTATTGTCTCTATACCACAGCCTGAAAAATATTGTTTTGATGTTCCTCCTGCATTTATAATGAATTATTCTTTAATTTAGACTTTACATATTTATTAGTTTCTGCCTATTCTATATTAAGACTGTTGAAAAAAAAAACTACATAGAAAACCAGAAGGGTTTTCTTTCAGGAAAGAAACATCAAGGGATTCCACAGTGCAAATATGGCTTACCTTCCCTGTACTGCATCAAACTCTAGTCTTGTTGAAAGGGAAAATGTACAAACAGAAGGGATAAAATGTGCGTATATGGAGCAGTATAGACAATGTTTTTAAAATGTTCCCTATGGGTACTTATGCAATTTTTTGGAGATGCACCAGAATAACATTTGAATGGAAATATTACATAAATCAGTTTATTTGCCACTGATGAACATCACACATATGTAGTGTTGTTTCTGTTGTGATCAAATCAAATCTTGTCTCAAAGAGGGAGAGCACCGTTTGCACTGCATTTCTTTATGTCTACACTCATTCTTTTCCTTTCTTCAGGGAATTCTGAATCCTGCTTTACCCAAATAAGAATGACAAAGCTTCATGTTTTATAGAAAATCTTTAAGATATTCATAATTTTTAACATAAAGGGCACTAAAGTTTTTACAGTTGCTATTGTAATTAAACATGTATTTCTTAAACTTAGCTTTGATTAAATGTAAAAGTGTTAGACGAGATGATTTTATTAGGTATACCCTTTTATGTCTCTTGTGTCATTGGCAAATTAGCTAATCGTGAACACCTGCAACATTCAGGGCTTAAAATAAATTCTACAGACATCAATACTTCTTGTTTCTGTACAGTGTATCTGACGGACATTTTGGTCAGAGATGATCTGTGGATGCCACTAAAGGAAAAGAATGCGGAGAGATGTTCAGTCCTTTTATTTTAACAGAATGGGGCAGTACAGTCTTGAAGTAAAGAACTCGTCGGCACACAGATGTAGTATGTTCTGAAGGTTGAACACAGCACATGATTTAGCTAACTAGAAACTGATTAAGACTCAGCCTACCTAGAAGTCGTGTAATGCAGAGTATGACGTGGCCTTACAGAAGTCACGTTACATTTAGAGCATATGATCTTGCCATTTGGCGACTGCTTTGCATTCACTTGGCATTGATTAATACACAGTTATGAGTGAAATACTCTTAAGACTCCAACAAAAACCAGCATATTAAAATAGAACTTTGCATACATGGATGGGAGGATGGAGTTCTTTACCATAGGAAAGAGATTTGGCAAATAAATCTTGGTTATTAAGAGTCTGTTTTCCTTCTTATAAAGGAAAAGCTTTACAGCCATGGAGGCATCGCCAAAGCAAAGAACAGAGGATGTGTTATGGATGCAGCAGCGCAGGTCTCTTTATCTCACTTCAGTCATCACATCACCCTTGCATGGGTGGACAGGCCATACATCAGTGGAGCACAACGGAAAGCAAGTTTATATCCCCTTAGACCTAACAGATACTGAAAAACAGGTGCAGGGACACAGAGATGCTAAGGATTGTGCTCTACTCAAAGGCTGTGAGTTTGATTGGCAATATGTGTGTGGTCTTTGTCAGAGAAGCAATATTTAATGATAACATTAAATTACAGCTACTCAATTTCCTGACAATGTCTCAATGTCAAGAATACTTGATTTCCAAATACACGCCATGTGGCACATGACCACAGAAAAATGCTCAAAATGTATATTTAACCAAGTCAAACCTGGATTTTTTAAGCTGTGCTTATTTTCTTTTTATTCTGCCTTGTGCACTTCCCTGTTTGCTGAGATCTAATGATATGTTCACAGCTCCTCATCAGTTTTGAAAAGAAAAAAAATTCACAGGGACTCTTTACCTTTAATTTATGGAGGACTGCAATTCCTTGGATGGTTGAAGGAAATGGACCTCTGACAACATTCCTGAGCTTAGCCCTGCACACTGTCATAACACAGCAAACATCCAGAAATAACTACTTTCTCCTAACTATGATCCTTTCCACAACTGCAGGCCCAACAGTCTGCAAGTCCTCAGCTAAATTTCTCTTTTTTTGTTTAAATTCATTTCTTGCCCCATATTGATATAATTATGCGTTGGTTAGTCCTTGCAGATGTAAAGATGGGTTGTAGGCCCATGGGAGCAGGCCTCACCAGGCCAGTGCCTGACCGTCCCCTAGGCATTCTGCATCTCCTTTCCTATTTTGTAACTCAGGATCTTATTCCAGTCGATCTTAGTGCGTGTGACAGGCAGCTGGCGACGCAAGGCCTTAAAGGTTGTGTCAGACATGGTCTGGTAGTTCTCACTGATTGCAGTCTAAGGGTGAGGTATGTAGAGAAACAAGTGTCAAACAAAGATATCTTTATAGCTACAATACATTTGGATGTAGTTTTACACTGGAAACTGGAGGGAAGACTTTACCTGGTAATCATTTTCTGCATTCTCAATAATGTCAACAAATTCCTTAGCTGTTTGGGTTTCATCCTGTGAAAAACACATAAAGACAAGAGTGGGCTCTCTTAGATACAACCAGAGATAATGCAGACAATGCATTGTTTACATACCGTGGTGGTGGTTATGTAAAAGCTTTTTTCTTTTCTCTTTTACTTACAGTCACAGGTACGGAATCTTCTATCTCCTTATGGCTGACCAGTTGTACATTCCCGTCTTCATAATAGTGCACCTGGAAGACAGAAAGGGGGAAATGATTGATATGCTGACAAATCCAGATACGGTAAAACAAAAAAAAGACCTCCTGTATAAAATCAAACACACTTTGGGATGTACAGATGTCTTAGTCTGGCACAATAAAGATAATTTACTTATGGACAAATATAAAATGAAAATAAAGAGAAAATGCAGTGAACTGTGCAATTACAGGACAGGAACTTGACCCTATATTTCTATTGATGTCAACCAAATTTTGATTTGGTTCTCAAGGTGTCGCCCTAAGAAAAAAAAAAGAAGTCAATTGACCTCCAAGCACACATAAATTCTGTCTGATTGTCATTCACTTAATGGTCTTAGATATTTTAATGCACATGCTGGGTTGTGTCTGGCAGAAGAGGTAGCTTTATTCACAGAGGTGCAGAAGGCTTTAAATCAGCTCAATTGATGGTTGACTAATTGGCCATTATCTGAAGTACATGTGGACACCTACCTGGATTTTCAATACTCCAACCACATGAGCAGTGGATTGACCGAGGGTAAGTTTCCACTCAGACCTACACCGACCATTCCTTTATGTGAAAAAAGAAGTCTCGTGTTACAATGAAGGGAGCTTAGAAACAGTCTTTGACAGCTAAAACGCTATTAGAAAATCGTCAGCGTAGTGCCGCCGATACATATTCAGATATTATATTAAGCAGTTGCTTTAAAAAAAAACAAACACTGTACCAGAAGTTTTTGGGTTGAAACTGATGCCCTTCAATGCAGGCTATAATCGTTTGCTGACCATCAACCGTTTTCCCGTACACCTGCAATATGAAGAAGAAAAAGATGTAGTATAGAGATGCAGTCAGTGATGATCAAAGTCTTCTTTGGGCACAGTGTTTATGCATCTTACCGTACTAACGCCAGTGGGATAGTGCTCTTTGACGTAGGCACTAAGGGCAGTATCACATGCATCTCTCCAGCTCCTCAAAGCCGTCTCTTCTTCGTAGGGCTGCACGTCGCTGACATCTTTTCTTAGGTGGTCAAAGCGGAAGGATAAATGGTTGCGGGGGTCCAGAAAACGTCCCTGACCCAAGTCACCATGCTCTGTGATCAAGACCTATTGATAAATTATATGGGAGTTTAAAGAATATAATTGCAAACCTTCACTTACGGTAATCGAAATAAGAATAACGGGGAAACATACCGGCTCTTCATATCCCTCCAACTTGGCTGGGGTAAACTGATCCATGTTATACTGGGCAAAGGAGCTGGGGAAAAAATATAAAGTGGGATCAGAGATGCTGTAAATATCTATTTCTCTTCTGCATATGAAGAATTTCTGTAAGTTAATTGGAATTTCAGATAATTGAATGTTACTTACTGTGAAGCCCCCTCTCTGAGAAGGTTGTCATTATTGAGAAGAAGCCGCACATCTACCGAGGCAGAAAGAAAACCAGTGTTTGTGTCATGCTCTTAAGATGCAAAGCAGTTCAACATATTGGGAGCCAAATACATAATATAATTCTGTATCATTATCAAACGCTTCTTACCATTGAAGACCTCATTAAACTCTCCTGGAGGGGCATGAGTAACAAAGTTAGCCGCTATGCGGACCTGTGGAAACAAATGGTTTAATCCATTATACTTGACTGTAAAGAATATATTGAGAAATAAAACAAGTAAACTATAATAGGAGTAATTAAATATATCAAAACATCTGACAGTAGCTTTTTTTCTGGTGTCTTTACACATCTATAGAAGTAAGCTGCTTGTTTTTTAGTTCTAGTCCAAACAAGACTTCAACATGGACTTTGGAAAATAAATTGATTAATAAAAACTGTCCTGTTTTTCAATCTGATAGAGATATTAACACCAGAAGTAGTAAAGTAAACATGAATAGATTGTTGATTGTGCCCTTCACTAAATAACTGTTACTGTTACTTTTATTTATTATACTCTTTACAACCATTTCGTGACAGAACAGCAACGCAAAGTATCGTCTTTTCAACTGCCCTGGCTCTAGAAGGCCGCTGCGAGACTGCAAGTATGCTGAACTCCGGCCAAACAAAGTATGTGAGCTGCAACAGAATATGTTTGACCCAGAAATCTCCAGCAAAGTAACGTTAGCTGCCGTCGTTAGCTGTGGTTTAAAGATTGAGGCACGTAGCCTTAACTGTAGTTTTAAAGCTAAGCGTGAGCATTCAATAAACCTTCTGGGAACATATATACATATTTCGAATGAGTTACAAAATTTGTCTTGTACAAACGCGAGGTTGTCAAACCATTATTAATGTTTGGACTCCACGGCTGGCAAATTATAGTCTTTCACTAGCATGGGTTACCTAGCTAACGTTAGCTCAAAAGCACAACTTTATCAACTCCGTAGGTGTCCAAAACCTCAATGTCTTTTACCAAATTGTAGCAATTAAGTAACAAAAACACCCAACACAGAGGTTCCTATAAAGATAGCATTAAAGAACAGTAAGCAAAGCTTTATTCCTCAAACCTTCTCTTCATCTGACAGCGGCTCCTCAAAGTCAGCCATCTTGGCTCACAGTGACCCCACCTACCCCAGCTGACTGAAAGAGGCGCGGCAGCGGCTGTCATTCACGGCACACTCAAAAAGTTACGATACATTTTATACTTCACTGGAAAAAATCCTTTATTCACATGCTACTGTCTTTTCGTAAAAAAAAAAACTAAACAAAATGTTACTGCTGGTTTGTCGAAAATCAAATGGGCATTACCAGCTAGGTACTAAATATTCTACTTCCTGTTGGGTGTCATGTTGATTATTTCCTGCAAAATAAAAGCGAAAGCATGTATTACAGTCCCTAAAAACTTTAGAATAGTTTTTTTCAAATACTTTAGATAGTTTATATGTATTTTAGTCCCTTTGTTTGTGACTTAAATATATTCCTAAACGCTGAAATCTTTGCATAGTCTGAATGCTTTTGGTCAAATATGCTCTTATGTTTGTAAGAAGAAGCTATAACATGGCCTAGCTTAATTGTTTTGTGGGTAACTTTGAGCTAGTTCGAATGCTCCATTGTGGTGTGAACTTTATTGATTCATAGTATTTGGCGACAGGAATTGTCCCTATCATGGAGTCACAGGTATGGCTGAACGGAAATAAACCTTCACTTCAGTACCGTGAACGTGTGCAACTAATCTCGGGTGCACAGCTAAACCAAATCACGCTAGCAGAGAGACGCGTAGTTTCGTTTTTTGTTGTCAGATTTAGCAGGAAGTTCCTGTCACGTTGAACAAACTGCCAAAGCTCTGCTACAAACTAGCCTGCTCATTCGTTGTTTAATTGCTTTACACAATTATATTTTAACAGTTGGAGTAAAATATTTCTCAAAAGGCGGTGTTACTACTGTGACATACAAACTATACTAACTCTGTATGTAGGGCTAGGTCTTCTGCTTGGACATGAATAGGGCATTGTTCGCGATCGGACATTTAGTTTCACTGAGACGAAGTTTTTCTGTTGCGGGCTGTCAGGTGATGACCAAACCGGAGGAAATTGCCAAACTCTACAGAGAGCTCAGCCTCTTCCCGTCTTTGAGCCGAGCAGACGTGGGACCCGTCATCACCTCTCAATATGGAGGCAAATACAGCAACATCTACACAGGTAGGCTGAATCGGTGCCAAATGTTTGATTTGGTTTAATGCAGCCTGATCAGTGAAAGCATTATTGTTTAATTTAATCTGCAGAATGGAGCCAACGTGATCTGGAGAGGAATGAAAATGTCAAGTTTTGCCGTCAGTACATTGTCTTCCACGATGATAAGTCAGTGGTCTACTCTGGAGCTTCTGGAAACTGCACGGAAATCAAAGGAGAGTATGTATAAAGATGCTAAATATTATCTAGAGAAACGATACCACCCAGACATAAGTTATCCAAAGTTAACCACATGTCTAAATTTGTTTCTTATTGCAGGGTACTGAGTAAGGACTCTCCCTCTGGGGAAATGAAGGCAGTTGTTAGAGAATGCTCCATAAAAGGAGAGGATAAACAGTTTCTGGAGGTGTGTGTTTGTTTAAGTTACTCAGACAGATCAGTGATTAGACCACCTTCCCCTTACTTTGGTCTACCTGGCTATCATCTGTGTCCGCTTTGCGTCATTAGGCTGTTTTAAGAGTGTTAAAATGACCTGCAGACTATTGTTCTCAAAGGGTTTTTTTACTTTCTCCTCCCCTAACATTTTCCATGCTTTTCAGATCTGGTGTAAAAACATTAAGATGAAGAGCATCAATCTCTCAGCACTAAAGAAGCATGGCAAAGTCTACGAAGATGGTGAGATAGCATTAATCCCCAAGCAGTGTATGTTATTCTGCCAGGCCAGTGTTGATCATTGTGTGTTTTCCATCCCCAGAGCAATTCGGCTGCTTGGTTTGGTCACACTCTGAGACACACCTGCTTTATGTGGCAGAGAGGAAGAGACCCAAGACAGAATCTTTCTTCCAGGTTTGCCGTAAAACTAGTTTTGAGAACTCATCTGCACAGAATCTTGCAGAAAAATAGCTGCATTCCTTGGTAACTTCGAGAAGATGAATCAGCTCGTCCTCTGAGTCACAGTGTTTAGAAATATTTCCCAGAGATTTTGCTTACAAATGCATTGTTCAAAAAAGCAACGGGACCTTGAAATGTAAGTTTGAATGAGCCTAGTTACATTCGCAGTAAACTGTTGGTTTTGGCACGCTTAAACATTAAGCACACTCACCAGGCAGATCAGATATTTCTGCAGGATTGTTCCGTGCCATTGAGAATAAACTATTTGCATAGTCATGAAAACATGGCAAATCGGTTCATTTTGTTCAGAAAGTGTTTTCTTTCTTTAGTGCAACGCGGATGTTAAAAGCATTGATTGTAAAGCGATCAGTGAAACATGTTTTCTGCCATTCTCTTTGGTATGAAGGCCTCTTTGTTTTGTCCTTGCAGACGGAGTCACCAGAGTTGTCTTCAATTGGAGATGAGGAGGAGGCCATGAGGATGGAGAAAAAGGAGACTGTAAAAGTAAAGGCCATTAAAAAAGAAAAAAAAAACATGCAACATTTCTGGAGGCCAGGGGTTTATTTCAGTCACCGGGTTAACTTCCATTTGATCTGTTCTTCCCGTCTTTTTCCTGCAGGGGGAGCAGTTTGTCTACTACGAGGACTGGGGAGAGGCTTTAGTGAGTAAGAGCTCCCCTGTGCTGTGTGTTCTGGACATTGAGGGCGACAATGTCTCTGTGCTGGAAGGACTCCCTGAAAACATCTCACCTGGACAGGTTGGTACTACAGTTGCAAGAGTGTGTGGCTTTATTCAAATGTTTTTCCATTTGTGCTCCACATTTTGGCCCCTGTTGATCCTCCGATTGTCTCATTGTAGGCATTTTGGGCACCGGGTGACACCGGTCTGGTTTTTGTGGGTTGGTGGCATGAGCCTTTCAGACTCGGTCTCAAATACTGCCCCAACAGAAGGTGATACATTTTTACATTCCAATAAAAGTCTGAGCTACTTGCTCTCAATGTGCAGACCATTAATTTTTACTTCTATATCTCAGGTCGTCCTTGTTTTATGTGGATCTTACCGGTGGAAAATGTGGTAAGTTAGGACTAAAATACAAAATTTGTTTGAAGTTTATGTTTTATACTGTATACTAATGATATTGAAAGATTTCTTTGGGCTACGGTTGGATGTTTTAGCCTATAAAAATACCTTTTTTCTTTGTTTGTTGTCCCCCTCAGAGCAGCTTTCATCAGACTCCAGCGCAGTGTGCTCTCCCCGGCTGAGTCCAGACCAGTGCCGAATAGTCTACCTTGAATGTTCCGTCTATGGCCCACACATGCAGTGCAGCAGACTCTGCATGGTAAGACAGAATGGAGTGAGCCTTTTTCCAACAACTTGTTTTTTTTTAAAGTGAACTGACAAAAAAAGCTGGAGTAAGTTACCTCCACAAAAAACATTTGCCAAGAAGTGAGATGCATTTCTTGTTTGTAATTTTAGTATGACTGGTATACCAAGAAGACCTCAGTAGTGGTGGATGTTGTGAAGCGACCCACTGACGGTAAGAATTTCTTTTTCTGGTCACGTGAATTAATCTTTTTCACAATAGACATTTTAAAGATGGGGATGGCTCTATCCCTATACAGATGGGTTTACCGGCATCTACAGTTCTCAGCTTTCACCCCAGTGCTGGTCAGCCGACAGTCAGCGTGTCATCATTGCTTGTCCTCAGCGCAGCCGTAAGGTATGCTCAGCTACTGGAACCTTTCATAATGAGATTAATAAGTCTTAAGAGACAGCCCGATACATTTAAATGAATTCATGTTTGGCCGTGTAAAACTGGTGTTCATAGAGTGACACAGTGTCTCTATCTTTCTTACAGGATCTCTTAATGGTGGACACAGTCACAGGAAGGGTCACCACTCTGACTGCAAGTGAGTATCTGAGACCACTATATGAGGTGAAAGAACTAAGCTTCTTATAACTGCCTTGTTTCCAGATACTGAAGTTACCTTATTTTTCTAATCTTTTAAACTTTTATCAATGAAGTTTGTTTGTTTATTTGTTTGTTTTTAGAATCCGATATTGGCAATTGGTGTCTGCTGAACCTACAGAGGGATCTGATGGTGGTCAGTTGCTCCTCACCCGACAGCCCTCCAAGTCTGGTAAGATCAGAAACATTTTCTTTTTTATATTTTGATCATTTTCAAAGTAAAGACATTACCATGAACAGGAACTTTGTTAAAGGTTTGTGGGTGTGTTCTGCACAAAAGCTGAGCCTTCTGAACCCCCTTGTGTCCAGAGAGTGGGATTCCTTCCAGAAAGGGATTCCCAGGAGGAAGTGGCCTGGATAACCTTGGAAGACTCTCAGGCTTTACCTGATATCAACTGGCAGATAATGAATTTCACTCCACCACCAGATCAAGACAATCCTCAATATTGTGAGAATACTCCTTTTTAAAAAAATTGTATTTAAATCGCAGTGAGACCTGTCTGTCTATATGTACTGTATATATTTTGTCTTAGTCCCTAAACTGGTAATTAATATGGAGCAAAGTGAAAAGGAAAGTATATATGTTCTCTTTGGTCTGTACAGTTCCAAATAATGAGCCAAACACCATTCAACATTCACAGGTTTCCACAATGAAAGTACTAGTTAAACTGTTAAAGGTCAACTTAAACCTTGATGCGAACAGCTGTTGTAAACGGCTGTTGTAACATGATGGTTTTTTTTTGCATTTCACTGAAGAAAAAAAAGTCACTCAATAAATCTGAAATCATGTGTTTGAATCTGAGGACTCCACAAACTGATACATACATTTACCCTGTTGCTTCCAAGCAGACTTCTGTTTTCTTAGCACATGTGACAACGTTAACGTTACTATTTTCACTATCTTGTAGCGGGTCTCGATTTTGAAGCTTTGCTGATCAAACCAAAGGAGGTCAAGAAAGACCAGAAGTTGCCTCTTATCGTCATTCCTCATGGTTGGTTATCCCGATTATCTTTCCTTATCTCTTAATTTTCTTCAAAGACAGTTAATTATTTAATCGTGTATGGTGCTGATGGTGCTGGTGTATGTCATTTTTAATTCTCTTTAAAAAAGCCAACACACACAAGATCTTACTGTAGGGAAACCAGTGCCATTAATTCATGCTGAATCTATTATCAGGATTTGGTCTGTGTTGAGATTTGATTCTGTTTAATCAGGAGCTACTGCTGATAGGATTGCAATTGCAGATGGTGGTTGCTATGGCGATGGTGCCCTAGGTGGCAAAATGTTTGATCATATTCTGAAAATAAAGCTTGGTCTTTTTTCTTCCTTCTTTTAAAATAGGATACATTACTTCCAGATCAGTAATGCCTTCTAAATATTCAAACTCTAATCTCTTAAACTCTTTTCTGTATGTTTTTTCTGTCAATAGGCGGCCCTCACTCTGTGATTGTAGCCGAATGGCTTCTGTCCTGCTCTGTGCTGTGCAGGATGGGCTTTGCTATATTACTGGGTAAGTCGATTTCAGTGTGCTGGTGAAAAACTTTCCCACTGTTGAGCCAATAAGGAAACAGAAGCTACCACTGTTTCTGGTTCAAAGTTCTGACCAGGGTGCAACCAGTCAACCACAAAGAGGATTCATGTTTGCAGAAGTTTGGTGTTCCTCTTCCTCCCTACATGTTAACCGGAGAAATGAGGCCTTTCTTGGTAACGCTATTCTTTGGATTGGTCCACATTTTTTTTAGATGTTTTTTACAATAGTGTTTGTTTTTAAAATCTCACACCATCAGATATTTAGAAACTTACCTCAAAATCAGTCAGTTGATTAATTGTGAGTCAGCATCATCTTTCAGTGGGTTCCAATGTAAAAGAAAATTAATGTAAACACATTCATTGTTCCATCAGATTTTTTCTGCCATCTTCCTGTAAGTGGATAATTGACAGTCATTTGCATCCAAACTAAATAACATCTGACTTAACTCTTTAATAAAGACCTTTTTAATTGTTGTTTTGGTGCTATTAAACTGTATTGTCAAATTAAGAAAGTTGAAAATGAACAATTTATATTATATTACCTCTCATAGTTTCTCCCCTGCTTAACCTTTATTCCTAACAGCTTCAACCTTCAGACTCTGAGAGGTTTTCTTTTCTTTTACTGCTAATACTGCCTTTCCATGTCATGATATGTGCCAGACATTTCCTTAATGTTTGATACTTGGCCCGGAGGAGTGATCTTCAACACTGAGCTGTGGAAATGTTCGACTTTAAGCGACTGGTAAATCCGCAGTCACAGGATCGGTTTAAAAAAAGGGGCCCTCCAATTTAAAGAAGTGACTGTTTCAGATCTCTCAGAGTATCCATTAGTTTGTGTGCTTGACGTGAAAAATAGTCTCTCTGGGTTTCCTGTTTCCATTCAGGCAGCTACACCATGACGCTTTTTGGTTTCTGCACAGCTGAATCTGTTTTCTGCATCAAAGGATCAGATTGCACATCCCTCGCATTTTTCTGCCTTTTCATTACCTCATCAATTCTCTGGACAGTGCTTTTATTCTACTTATTCATTTACATGTGATCATGTTTTCTGAACTCGGTAACAAATAGCGGACGGTTTGTCGTGATGATTTTCTTTGATTGTTTTCTGGGAATGACGGGATGGCACTGAACTAGATATATTTTGATTGATTATAGATGGACCAGTATGATCAGAAAGAGTATTTAAAGGTTGTACACTCAGCTTTTATTTTTGACTTTGCTCCCATATGCATCAGTACAAGAAACAACGGTCTACTACTGCCTAAGATATTTGAAAAAAAAACTGTGTGTACATGAGGTCACAGGCTTATTTCCACTAACAGGGTAACGGTTGACAATCATGAGGCTTACTAGTTTGCTTCATGTGTTTTAGTAAACTATCGTGGTTCTATTGGGTACGGGCAGGACAGCATCTTCTCATTACCGGGCAACATCGGCACCCAGGATGTAAAAGACGTTCAAGTAAGAGCATGGCAATATAAAACTGTCCAACTGGATGCTTTTTAAAACATAACAAGCATAAGATGGAAGTATAACCTTTCTACTGTCTAAAGGACTTTGTGTGCATCCTTACTAGGTGCTCTTATTCTACTTGGTTTCTCAGTTTCTTAAAAAAGTGGATTTTTGTTGCCATAGTTTCCGCTTAAGTTGAAGGTCATAGCAGCAGTGCTCATTTCTTATCTTCGTCTCAGTTGTTTTTTCTCATATTTCCTCTAGTTTGCAGTTGAAAGTGTTCTGAAAAGTGGAGAGTTCGATGAGAACAAAGTGGCCGTTTCGGGGGGCTCTCATGGAGGTTTCCTGGCCTGTCATCTGATTGGTCAATACCCAGGGTTCTATAAAGCATGTGTGGCCCGCAACCCTGTCATCAATATCGCCTCTATGATCGGCAGCACGGACATCCCAGACTGGTAGCTCTGTTTGTTTCTTTTTTGTTGTCTGTTTTGTCTGTATGTTGAGTTGTTAATGTGAACAAAACTGAATTTTAGAAGTGCACAAACCTGCAGAGCTCGATCGTCATGAGCTTTCTAAGGAAAAGACATCAGCTAGATGTGCTTTTCAGACAGCTGAGGAGACCTCCTTTTTATTAAATAGCTTTAGGTATTTCCAGTCTGTGCCTGTGTCTGGGTATTGATTGAATTAATCCGATTCAATCCACCAGCAAGTGAATGAAATAAGGGTTGCATGTTTGTGTCTGTCTAGAAACTAAAAGAACAAAGTTCTGAAAATCATGCAGTGGAATGTCATGGCTGTTGGTGTTTGACATTTGCAGGTGTGTAGTTGAGGCCGGCTTTGACTACAGTCCAGACTGTCTCCCTGACCCGGCTGTTTGGGAACAGATGTTGAACAAGTCCCCCATTAAACACGTGGAACAGGTATATATGGTCCTCCTGGTTCTCCTCATGCAATTGTATTTCTGTTGTTACAAATTGTTTTAATCAAAGGTGATGTTCCTCTTAGGTACGGACACCAGTGTTGCTGACTTTAGGGGAAGATGACAAGCGTGTGCCTAACAAACAAGGAATCGAATACTTCAGAGCACTGAAAGCAAAGCAGATCCCAGTTAGGTAAGCGGACACCTGATTAACGGGGTTTTTTTTGTTTTTTATGTGAAAAATGCACCGCATAAGCTGATCTGTTTTGCCGTGGCTTATTCACTAACACTCTAATTTGTGTTGCTTAGGTTACTGTGGTACCCAGGGAACAACCACTCTCTTTCCAAGGTAGACGCAGAATCAGATGGATTTATGAACATCGCTTTGTGGATAATTCATCACTTTAGTCAGTGATTGGATTCAGATGATAGGCAGTGGTGTGGGAAAACATTGCTTTGTTAGTGATGTTATATTTCTGTTTTGAGGTACAAACCAAAGCCAAAGCATTCTGAGTGCTCTCCAACCAGAACACACCTCTAATCTGTGCTTTACTCACATTTTATCCTGTATGTTCTGTAAACTGATTCAGAATTGACAGTTTTAACTTAACACTTGAATAAAATCCCTTTTGATTCGACAGAATTTTCTATCGATATCGTTTTGTCTATTTTTAAATGTAGAAAAAAGGGCTTTACGGTATTTTAGCTTTGTTTGATCTTATTGTAACAAAGGAAATTCATTTAATAATCTCTTCTCATCGTAGCGTTTTCTTTTGGTTAAATCTGAGATCTTCTAAAATGTGGATGTGGTGCGGTTAATAAAGTGATTCTGAAAATGTTTGTGCAGGACAAGTCTTTTGACACTACAGTTTGAGATGCAGGTGTGGAGGTGGAATGTATTCACTGCTGATGTGACTGGTATTGTCTAGCCTTTGTGCACATATTAGTGTGTGTTATGGTAAATTTGGTGCATGTTAACATGAAAGCATCTGCAAGTTTTATTTGTGAAAGTTTCATAAAGTCAGCTGTGGTTGCAGACCTCATGGCTGTTGCAGCTGGTTTGATTTCATGTTCACAAAGTCTTTCTTTTAAGAGTTGTTAATGGAGAAAGTCCCTCTTTCTGTTACTTTCTGTTATTTTTGTGTGCTTTCTGTGGAAAAGCACTCTGAAAATTACTGCAGTTTTCTTTTCGTGAGTGTTGTTTGTTTTTACTTTATTAGTTTAATGTGAAATATTCTGGCTTTTAAATCAATTGAGGGGATGTTTGCATTCTATGCTTATCATCAAAAAAAAAAAAAAAAGACCTCAATTGGCTCTCATTGTAGAGAGGTCTCTGAATACATGAGGTATGCTGCAGGTAGAATTACTGTTGAATGAGTTTTGTGTGATTGTGAAAATATTTTCTATTTAACTGAATTATACACTCAAAAAGTTAAAATGTGCCATGATAAATGTATACCAATGTATACCACTTTTATCATGATTATCATAGATTTGACTTGTGTCACATGGTTTGCATTACAACCACACACTTTCACTTCTGCATTAATGGATCCAGTTTCTTTTCACTACAAAGACTTTTCATTGCCTTTTTTCAACTGCTGCAGTCTCCTTTTGGATTTAAGATATCTGTACCTCTGTCCTTTTTTTAATTGAAAGAAGCATTTTTTCACCTGTTATGGTAAGTGACATACGTTATATTTTCTTTCAAAGTTATTGCATTCTGCGGTGACAAAATTCTGGATTCTGCCCCATTTCCAAACAAAAGTGTTGAATAGGAAGGCCTACACTTACTTTTGTCTGCAGCTTAATGCACAGGATAGAATATTTTCTGCAATTAGTATTACGTGTTAATAGACTTGCATCATCAGTTTACATTTTCAGAGCTGTCAGCAACAACTGAATTGAGTTTTGTCCCCTTTTTAGGCTATATTGAAAATAATCATCGTTCTCAGTCAGCTTGTCATTCACGGGAGGACTATAAATATCAAGTTTTTTCCATGTGATGCAAATGAGAATTCCACATCAGTGGACTGCTCAAACAGACATCTCAGGCTCATTCCCCACTTCAAGGCGACCTCCGTATTGTTCATGGATTTGAGTTGGACAAAAATACAGCACGTTGGCCGTGATGTTTTTGCCGGTGTTCCAAACCTTAATGTTCTGAAATTAATGGAAAACTGTAAGCCAGGTAGGCTGAGAGCCCCGGAGAATAGCTTGTGCAAAATGAAGATTCACCCTGAAGCTTTCAAGTATCTACGAAATCTTACATCTCTGTATCTGTCAGGAAACAGCCTCACGTCCATACCACTGTTACCAGAAAAGCTGCAGCTTCTTGACCTTCAGAATAACTGCATATTCAGCATTACGGACCCTTTAAACACTCCTTATCTTGAAACACTCTTGCTTTCTAAGAACTGCTATTATGCAAACCCTTGCAACCAATCATTTTACATAAATGAATCTATTTTCAGAGAGCTTCCTATGCTAAAAAATCTTACATTAGGGTATAATAACTTGACATCTGTCCCTAAGGGACTGCCACACTCGCTGAGGAGCCTGGATTTACGAGAGAACACGATCACAGAGATTTTTGAAGGAACGTTTGCCAACTTGACTGTCCTCGAGAGTCTGAATTTGGAGTGGAACTGTCAGCGATGTGACCATGCAGCAAGGCCCTGTTTTCCCTGCCCACACAATCTTCCTCTACACTTGCATCCAAACTCATTTTATGCCAAGAACAGCTCCATCACCTTCCTGAGCTTAAGGGGAAATTCTTTGAAAACATTTCCCATTGGTCTTTTTAGACCATTAAGGAATTTAAAAACACTTGACCTATCTGACAACCTCCTGGCATTTGCCATACAGAATGGGACCTTCTTTGGAGAGCTAGAAGGCCTCACCTGGATTAGCCTTATCTATAACTATGAACCACTGAAGACTTTTCCAGAACTGATCCTCTCCCCCTCCATCGGCAACATATCTGGTCTTCATAGCCTTTTGCTGAGTGGTAACTTTTTCCACACAATCTCAGAGAAAAGCTTTAAAGTTCTGTCCAAACTTCAGAGTCTAACAAAACTGGAACTGAGGATGAACTTCATAAGTGCGTGTAACTTTACCTCTCTGAAACTACTACCGTCTCTCACTGCTATTGACCTCTCCCAGAACATGCTCAATTTTCTTCCATCCTGCTCAAAGTCATCATCTGGGTATGGGAGACAGGACAACTCTAAGAACCGGTATGGAGACTCTGAACAAGACCAACCTCCCTTTATAAGAGATCGAGAGACGACATCTGTAATTGACCTATGGGGATCCAACCTGTCAAAGGCACCGCCAGTTACAGAGAACACTGCATTTCAAATCCCCCCCCTGTGGTACTTTAAAAACAAGTTCTGCAATCACAAGGTGACATTTGACCTGTCTCAAAATGACATTCTGTCACTTAATGAGAAAATGTTTCTGGGCATGGAAGATTCCGTTTGTTTAGACCTTTCATTTAATTACATGAGCCAGACGTTGAGAGGGGAACTATTTAATGGCATGAAAAATTTAGTGGTTCTTAATATGTCTTATAATAGGCTCGATCTTTATCATAATAATGTTTTCAGTGAACTTAAATCCACTTTGAAGGTCTTAGATGTTAGTAACAATGACTTCCATTTCAAAATGAGGGGCATGGGCCACCGTTTTGGGTTCCTTCAGAATCTGACAAATTTGGAAGTGCTCAGTCTGGCAAACAATGGCATTGGGATGCGAATAGATCAAAGGTTGATTAGTAGTTCCTTGGAGTACTTCTATTTTTCTGGAAATAACCTAAACATCATGTGGGGGTCTGATAACAACAAGTACACCAATTTCTTCCAGAATCTGACAAAGTTAAAGTACCTGGACATCTCTAGCAATAAACTGAGGTCAGTGTCATCCGAAGTGCTGTCTAATCTTCCAGTAAGCATTAAAGCCCTCAGCATCAGCAGCAATTTGCTGAATTATTTCCCCTGGCAAAACATCTCAGCGCTCAGAAGTTTGTGTTACCTGGACCTGAGCCATAACTTTCTCTTTTATTTGCCGCCAACGGCAATAGAATTTGGAGCCAATTTTTCCGCTCTGGATCTCAGTCATAATTACCTCAATTTTATCCCTGAGAATTTCTTTAGACAGGCAAAGTCCTTGCAATACCTGTATCTCAGTCACAATCAGATAAAAGAGCTGAACCACCAGCATCTTCCCACCCCTTTTAAAAATGGCAGTGCCCTTGAGAGACTCACACTGCATGACAACCCTTTTAAATGTGACTGCGACACCTCCTGGTTTGCTGATTTTTTGGCCTCTACGACAGTACAGATTCCTCATCTGACCACACGTGTTCGCTGTGAATTCCCAGAGTCCCAGCAGGGTCAGAGTCTACTGTCTATGGACCAGCGCTCCTGCCAGGACATATACGGTAGCATAGCCTTCCTGGTCTGTTCCTTCTTGGCTGTGACGTGCACGAGTCTTCCCCTTCTGCAGCACCTCTACGGCTGGGATGTGTGGTACTGCTTGCAGGTGCTCTGGGCAGGACACAAAGGCTACTCACAGCTGCCCGGTAGAGATTCATGTCATCACTACGATGCATTTGTTGTGTTCGACACCACAAACCCGGCCGTGAGGGACTGGGTTTATAATGAGTTGACCGTTAATTTGGAAAACTGCGGCCACAGGAGATTCAGTCTCTGCTTAGAAGAAAGGGACTGGATACCAGGACTTTCATGTATTGACAATCTGCATAATGCTGTGCACAGCAGTGGGAAGACTGTTTTTGTTCTGTCCAGAAATGGATGTGAGATGGTAAATGGTGTGATCCGCCAGGCTTTCTTCATGGTTCAGCAGAGGCTTCTGGATGAGAAGGTAAACTTTTTTTATTTTATGTGCATTTTGTGCCTCATAATGTTCCCTATTTCAAGGTATTGGCATACTTTAACGTTTTTAAATTACTGCTGATTTTTTTTTCTGTGAAAGGTGGATGCCGCTGTGCTCGTTCTGCTGGATGAGATGTTTCCAAAACTAAAGTACCTCCAAATGAGGAGGAGATTGTGCAGAAAGTCGGTGCTGTCCTGGCCGAGAAACCCAATGGCTCAACCAATCTTTTGGAATCGAATGAGAATAGCACTGTCATCAGACAATCTCAAATTATACGACAACAAGATGAGTGAGAGCTTCTTATGATGACCACCATTATTTTAGCCAGACCTGCTTAGATTTATATGTCTGAGCAAAAATTATATTGTAATAATTTTTTTATGTTCCTAAATCAGAAAATAAAAAATCAAAAGTCATAAATACTGAAATGCTTTTCTGTTATTGGTGCTAAAATGCTTGTTGTAAAAATGAACTATTGCTGTGGTTTGCTGTTCAGTGAAGCATTCAATTGAGGTTATACAAATACACTATGCATGCATTCACTTGAGTAACTTAATTTCATAAATATTACAAGAGTTCAGTAATGCAGTGTTACTGTTAAACAACCCCACCCCAAATTTTTAAATTTCACTTCTCTTTAGTGGAATAATTAAAGGAAATGAAACTTCTGATGGTTTCTTGCAAATAAGAGCCCACCAACAACCTCATGAACTACTATTTAGGAAAAAAGAAACAAACAAAATAAAAAAAGAGAAACAAAAGAGAATGGTGAACCACTTTTTAATGTAAGCTTTAAAGAAAACCTGCACCTCAGAAGGTGTGTTGTCCACAACTGTTTAAGTCATTTAGCAGCTTGATCAACACAGGTAATGGTAGTAGTAAGTTTCCATGTAAGCTTCCAATGTGAGCAGTGCAGTGATGTTCTGTTGTCTCCATTCTCACCCCAGAAACTAGAGCCATCTATCATTTTTAGTCTCATGATCTTTCAACTCCAACAGTAAGGCGGCATCCCTTTTCTGAGAGTGAAACCTCTGACTCAATATAGTTTTAAACATATTTTCTGGTAAATGAAAGTGCGCTCTACTGAACATCTGCGGCCTCTTTTACAATGCAAGGGGAACTCGATCGCAGGGCCCCACATTCAAGGCTCCACACGCAATAGGCTTTTTTAAGTACTGCAACCATGACTTTGCATGACTTTTTATTTTTAACACGTTCTATATCAGGAATGTTGGTCGAAAACAAAGTCTGAAATAAACCATTATTTGTAAATTCACTTTCCAACTGGTGTAAAACCCCATAACTACTTTTTTACACAGCTGACGTTCATGTGTTTGTGCTGGGAGATAAAAAAAAAATCATCCAATCATTGCTATTCGTCCTGCCTTAGCCACAGTAGACGGTCGTGCACGCACCAGCTGGGTTTGCGCGCTCACGCGGACCCGATGGCAGGACAGGTCATAGCTGAGCCGATGAGATCATGGAGCCAAGGCCGAGGTCGGACAGGATACGGCTGCGTGTCATCCGTGATGGAGATGTGCCCGACCAGTAAGTTGGAGCAACACGTTGAGTCTGCACTATGGAACGAGCGCAGTATGAAAACAAATGAAAATTTGGTGCGGTCAGTTTGCGTGCGAGATTAATTATTATGTAAGGCACCAGCTCTAACTCATTTAGTCGTGCGCATATGAGCAAGAAACTAATCCTTCCAGCCGTGGCCGTAGTAGAATCATTTGGGCGTCTGTTTCCAGGCTGCACGGCCACATGCAACACCGACCGTTTTCCCCCGTGTGAAAACTGTTGCGGTCCACTCGTCTGTCTTTTCATCACTCTAGGGCTGAAACATGCTGAACTTGATGAAGAGCCACGTTTGGATGATAATTGTTCATGCAAATGCAAACGACATCCGGTCCTGCAGTTTGGGTGGTGACTCGACTTTTCTCTCCGCATCAACAGCTGGCTCTCAACTCCAAAGTAAGTGCAAGCGCTTGTGGACCAAAATGAAGTGAGGAAACATTTCATTTTAGCACTGTCGTTATTCCTCTGTTTTCTGTCCATCTTTTCGCTCTCTTATCATGGTTTGACACGAGAGACACAGCTGCGTAAAGTTAGTGTGTGCCCAAATGGAACGCTGATTGTGGATACCACCATCTTAATGCGAATACAGTGAAATCTTGAATTACGCCAGTATTGTGTGCTATTTTCGGCTTAATATCACGAAGTATTATTTTTATTACAGTTATAGTTGAATCGCACCTTTTAAACAAGATCCAAATTAATTATTCACGCAATTAGTGGTTCACTTGTCAGCACGAGAGGCTCATTTTCTCGTCTCAAACAATAATGGATAAGGGATTGACAGCTATGTTATGACTGACAAGTGCACTTAACCAATCTGTTAGTTCCATCTCGTGTGGTGACTCCCAGCACCCAATCCTCTTAGATTAGAGGAGGGATTATTATTGGGATTTGCCTCTGCTTTGAAGACAGACCCAATATCTGGTCCATCCTGGACTGGGTTATGCTTACTTTGATTCCCTGAGGATATTTTTAATATTGTATGGCTTTTTACATATTAAATCCAACAAGCATTGCTAACACCACAGAATGTAATCCAGACACACCGTGCTATATGTGTGATTTATTCTGATGCACACACGGTAACATGTTATACCAAGTACAATGTAGACTAGATCCCAAGTGCCTATTTTTTGTCCTCTATTTTTAGTTGAAGCCTGGGGTGAGTCTACAGCCTGGCAAAGTTTGACTGTAAATTTAAAGTTGCCCCTCAGGGAACATAGATAATGAAAAATGGCCTTCGAATTTCCTTCCATCTCTCCAGGCCATTGCAAACTGCACAGCATTGTTTTGGTCTCAGTGGGCATTCAGAACCGTGCATTTTTGAAAGATTGGTTTAGTGCTGTCCGTGGTGCTGAAATGGATATGCCGCTCTAATGTGGCAACTGTGGACACATTTTTAAACACAGTGGGAATGTGTGTGGGTCTGTACACCACCTTTGATCTGTGGGCTGGTGGATTAGTTAAATATTGATTTCTTGGCTTTCAAATGTTCTCAAAACCTTTAATAAGGAAGAAAAGATCACTGTATGAGAAGTTGCTCAGATGATCAGTTAATTTTAGCCTCATAACAATTTTGTATATTCATCTCTTCTTGAATGACGTAGGGGTCCTAATGATGAAAAGTAAAGATTTGTAATAGATTCTTGTTCCACTGAGTATATTTAAGAACGTTTGAACATTTAGGAACTGTTGTGAGTGTTTGTCTTGCCTGAGGCATAAAAAGCTAAAATGATGTATCATGATGTTAGCTGCGTGTATTTGTTATGTGATATATTCGTATGTTACTGTCTCCACTCTTAATTATTTTGTTGTTGTTTTCTGATCAGTCACAGTGCTTGTTTGACTTTTTCCCATTTAGAATTCATGATGACCTGCTTTGTGGTGAGAATCACAACACCGCTGGCCTGTGTGTCTGAGAGCCCCAATGCCGACAATCACAGCTGTTTTCTTCTAAAAGCACAAAATAAGACTCAAGCCCTATATGTGCAGGGATGGACAGGAAAAACTGAAAAGCTGTGAAATGACTGTTTTCTTATATTGTTCATGCCGGTTCCATACATGAACATTTTCCCAACTTAAACAGTTTCTTCTCAATATCATATTTTGCCATATAAAAATGCCTTTAAACATAAGAGCCAAGCCCTCGCACGGTAAGCTGCCTGCCGGTGCAAAGAATAGTGGATACACTGATGGCAGCGCATCTAATTCACGTTTCTTAAAGTCCCCGAAACCGGGCAAAGGCAAACAGCCTGTAAGCTCAGCACCAGGGTCCCGTTCGGGGCTTGAGCCGGGCTCTGTGTCGGGGGGTGGGCCTGCACCAACGTCTAAACCCACAAAGACCCACGGGTCAGTGTTAAAAAACAAAGGTGGTGCCACAGCAGATAAAGGCCCGACCCGTGGCTCTGCAACAGCTCCAGGCGGTAAAACCCTCTCTATGGAGAACATCCAGTCTTTGAGCGCTGCCTATGCAACTTCCGGCACTATGTATCCCAATGAGCGAGAGACACTGGAACCCTCTGGCGGGTACCCCAAAGGCACCATGACGTTAGGCCGCAGCACCAGCCGCTCGTCCTACACCTGCCGGACAACAGCTATGGGAAGCAGCCCAAACATCACGTCCTCCGGGATGCATCACATGTCCGACCCTTGTGGAGACCCTTCCATGCTGTGTGTGGGGACTTCCAGTCTACGAAGGCAATCTGGAAGATATGGACAGACGGCAGATCTGGCCGCGCAGGGAGACGGTTCCACCTACGACCTCCAGTCGCAGCTGAGGGAGCTGCAGAGGGAGAACGACACCCTGCGAAGAGAACTGGACGGAGGGAGGGACGGAAAGACGAGCCACAGCATGAACAGTGTCAACTTCTGGAGTCCAGATGTAAGGAGAGACAGGGGGGTCAGGTGTGAGGAGGGAGGGAGGACGTCAGTTGTGAAGGACCAGTACAAAGTCAACCAAGACGATTTACAGGTAAGACGCCTGACAAAAGTTTTCAGCAAAGACATTTTACGTTTTTACTATCAAACTGCAATTTGAAACACCTGAGTCAGAGGTTGCAGACATTTCACGCTGACCCACTCATCTCCTCTGAACATCATACTGCTGGCATTGTGTCTCTTGTTTTCATCTTGAACGTTGCAATCACAGGCTTCTGTGCTGATAACTTGCACCAGTGTTTGCCAGGCTCCATGTGTTTCCATGGGAACATACACTTCTGGTATCTACTCAAGGTGTTTGCCAGATTCTAAAACAGTTCACAGTTTCTCACGAAATAATGGTGACCAGCCTGTCCTGCACCAGCCCTCCCCAGTCTGTACCACTCCATCTGAGGTGTTATCCATCTGTCTGTATGGTCACTGTGTAAGTATCTGTTTGTTTATCTTTTCTCTGGTTTATGTCTTGTCAGCCTTCTGTTTCTCCATTTGTTTGTGAATCATTTTATTTCCTTATGCATCTGTGCTGTCTCACATTCTCACATGTTTTTAGTTATCGGGGGACTTAAAAACCATCTGTACTCGAAAAGATAGCTCCAGAAAGCTTGTGTTGTTGAAGTTGTGTTGCTTTGTCACACAAGCATGCAGGAACTTAAATCATAACTGTGCTCTCCTATTGTAACCAAGAAAACACCTCTGCATTTGTATTTATAGCTTTTTCATCTCACGTTGTCATATAGTGTGAGGACACTGTGACACACTTTCCCTGGCATGCACAAGCACTTCTTCCAAAAACAATAAAAAAAGAAGTTAGAAAATACAAAAAGAAGCGATTAAATACCAAAGCCTCTCAACAATACCGATCTCAGTCGTCCTTGATAGGTCCTCTGCATCTTTTGTGACAAAGTCCCACACTGAAAATAAGCTATCTCACATACTTCTATGTCTTCAGCCGTTCAGTCTATTTCTTCACATTTACTGCAATTAGCTCTCTTTTAGTCTCTTTCCCCTAAATGTCCGGCAGATCTGGTGGTCCCCTAAACCTTTTGTTGGTCAGTGACGCATATCATTCATATATCTATATCAACTCCAATAATTTGCTGTTTAGCTCAAAATGCAGAGAGGGATGCTCATTATATGGCTACAATGTTGGTGCTGAACCTTACTGTATCTTGCGATGTTTAGAATCAAATTATAATTTGTGAAATAGGAAACATCTCTATTTCTTATCCCTATAAGGTGATCTCACAGAAGGGTTGGTATCTGCTTATGAGACACCCCATGCTGCAAGCTCCTGCCATTTTTTTCCAGAGATAATGGGAAAGAAAGTGTTCAGTCTGACAAGAATACTTTCAATTACCATAAGGAATGTCACCTTTTCTCTCAGCCGAAGGGACAGTAGTTGTCCCCCCTCAGCCATCTGTTTTGTTTGGGGTGTTTATCGGCTGTGTGAATGTGTAAGTGTACACATATGCATTTGGTTCAGCAGTCATGGTTGTATATGTGTATGTGTTTGTGCAGTAGATTTTCCTCCCACTCTAACTTGATATTCACTGCTAGCGGTTGCATTGATTATCTGTGTTCACCCTTGCCTCCCTCCTACATCTCTACAACTTTTTGTCCTTGGCGCTCCCCACCCTCTGGACACAAGCAGAGGAGTCATATTAAACTTTGCAAAATATGAGTAATAGCCTTTCCCAGGTGAAAAAAAAAATGTACGCGCATATAGAGCAGATACATAGAAAAGTATATATACACGTGTATGTACATACACGTATATGTATATCTAAGTATATATCTGATCTTACAGCATTGATGGTGTCTTTTCAAATATCAAAGTTGCCATATTCACTGGCTCTGATGCACTTCTAAACTAACAGAGATATAAACTTTAGAAAAGAGCTCCGATAACAAGCTTAGAAGGCCATTCTCTTTGGCTTTTGGAAACATTCACTTCTTAGGAAAAGTCCATTTTAAGTGTGCTTTAAACCAGAGGAGATGGCAGTTTATATGGATCATGTACACATAATCATTGTACACATTATGCATACTCATGGCATTTTCTCAGAGTATATATATTTATATTTGTGTTTGTGTGTATGTCTGTGTACCCTTATAAATGTTCATTTGAAATTGTTTTACAATTTGTAGAACAATTTTTTAAAGAAACCTGAGGCTCTGTTCATCTTTATTTCTGAGACACTGCTGTTTAAGGTGATCTCTTTATGCAAAATTGTGATACTGACCTATTGTCAGTTGACCTATTTCTTCATCTTGCTATCCTCCAGGTGCTTCCTTTGTTGAACAGCTGTCTTTGCTTTTTTCTTTTTTTTCTTTTTTTTCTCTTTACTTTTTTTACTTCTGAAATTTCAACATGAACTAATTTTTAATGACAAATAAAAGTCTTCTCTATTTAATGTATTTACAATGATTTCTTGGAGGATACTGGATGCAATTTGCAAATTAGTGCATTCTGTTTATTTTAACTTGGAATCACAACTTTCTTGTAATAGGAAACACACTTAACTCAACCAAACGTTTTACAGTTGAAAATAAACATGATAAAAAAAATAACAATGTATTTCATGGAGCAAAAACCTTTACATTGACTCTTATTCCAAACATTACTTGACACTTGAAATAAAATAGGGGTCCTGATTTCCTTTAAGGTAATCTAGGTTTTTAATTTCTTTGTCAATTTGCATATATGGAAAACTGTCTCTCAGGAAGAATATGTTTTTACATTGCTCTTTCAGCAGCTCTTTCTTTTTAGATTAATCTCATGGCAAACATTCCCATTATATGGCTCCCTATTCACCCTTCTTACTCTCCCTCTGTTTCCAAGAGAAATTGTGCTCTCTTGTGGTCATCCTGTGTATTACTCATCAAACAACATGAAACAAGCAAGTTTATTTAAGTCTTTTGCATGAATTTTAGGAACTTTTATCCTTATATATATTTATATATATTTTGGATTTATGATTTGTATATCTGCATGCTCTTCCTGCATCACCTCTCTTTCCTGCAGCCGGGGGATATCAAAAGAAACAAGGTGTGTTTTGATTAGCTTTTTCACATATATATCAAGCATATCGTGTGTGCATGCTATTCATTAATAGTTTTCTAACTAAATGTAACTCTCTTTATAGCAGCTTCCGTTGACTGTTCAGGAGCTCCAGGAGGAGCTGAGGGCTCACAGAGAGATGAACAGTCGCTTGCGGCAGCAGCGGCAGCAGGGAAACTCCTATCGAGAACACCATATGGACCCGGACATCAGAGGGGGGTTCAGCCCTGGCCACAGCCCCAGACAAAGCCCCAGCAATCTGCACAGTCCAGCGCCAAAGAACAGCCCCAGAGCCAGCCCGTCCAACACCTACAACCCCAGGCAGCAGGAAGCTGACATCATCATTCACAGTCCCGGGTATGGCTGTGCCACCGCAGCAGCCTCCCAGAGACTCAGCCCGGCCAACACCCTCCAACCTGGGCTCAGGAGCAGCCCGAACCAGCCACTCTACAGTCTCGGCCAAGGTGCAGGAGTCACGCCCAGCCCGAGCGCACTGCGGCCCCGCAGCCCCTGTCAGGTTCCCGGGTGTGACGGCTTTTCCTCACCTCCTCCACCAGATCTGCCGGACGAGAACTTCTTCCAGCTGCAGTCGGAGCACGAACGGCAGGCCAAGGAGCTGTCCCTGCTGAGGAAAACCATGGAGGAGATGGAGATGAGAATTGACTCTCAGAAGCAGACACTGGGCGCTCGGGACGAGAGCATCCAGAGACTGCTGGAGATGCTTCAGGGCCAGGGTCAGGGACGGGGTCAGCGGACAGGCATAATAACCATGGCCGCCCAGGAGGCGGAAGCCCAGCTGGAGAGCATGCGTCTGAGAGAGGTGTGTTCATTTGTCCTTTTTTTCCCCCCCCTCAATGTATCATTCGATATCTCAAAGGAGTGTGTGGCATGTAAACAAGCATGTAATTAAGCATGTAAACATCCATACAACAAGTTACTTTCAACTGATTTGTCAAATCACAAACTGTAAAAATTTCTCATGACATTGTTTATATTTATATCTATTTTTGCATTCCATTTGATTTTTTATGCAAGCTGATGAGATTACAACAGTCAACATTGATGTTCGGCCGCGCATGTTTGTGTATCGGTGTGAGTGTGTGCACCTGTTAGTCTGTCTGCATTGTGTGTGAGACTGGGAGCAGAGAGCAGCTCAGCAGGTCTTATCAATGGTCCAGATTAACATACAGAGAGCTCTAAGCCTGTGTTCAGCCGTGCAGTTTTACAATCTCCACTTGTGTGTGGGTGCGATTGTGGGTGCATGCGGGTGTGTTCCTGAGGATGAACATGCTCATATGATCTTTGTTCATATCCCCGTTGTCTGTGTGGTGTTCTTTGCATTTGGCAGACAGATATATGCAGCAGGTGATGAGCTTGTTGTGCAGTCACCTGGATTAATTATTAGATAAACTGTGCACATATCGCAGCCTATATAAAAAAAAAACAGAGAAAGGCACTATTGTATTCATCCTGTTAGTCTGTTTGCTGCACAGGTGTGTCTGTATCCCCTGCTATGAGGACTGGCAGTAGGCTGTTCTTTAGCTCCTCACTCCTGCCTTATCTATTTTTAACTCCTAAATCTTCTTAGTCTTTAATTTCTCTACCACTATATCTGTGTGTGTGTGTGCGCATTCCATTTCAGTGCATAACTCTGATATTGTTTGTCGTAGTGTTCTTGTTTTTTCTGCTTCTGTGCTGTCAGTTTTCCTCCCTGTGTCCACTCGGAATAAACGTGTATATTTGTGTGTGTGTGCGAGCGAGCATGCGTACACATCTGGATCCCATCGGCTTAGATATTCACGTGAGAACACTCCCTCTCAGGCTTGCCGGTGGCTGATGGGATATCCACCCATGCCGGGTGTTTGGCCACTGAGGGGACTTTGTCAAAGGGGAGTCTAGGTGTGTCACTCCATGCTAATTCAGCTGTATGCGTACATGTCTGTCAATGTGCTATGTATGGGACCCAACTATGCTTTGTGTGTAAGCGGTGAGTACCTGTTCACACACACTGGGTGTCATGGCATGCTATTTTTAAACATTTGACAGCTTAACACATGCTGTGTAAGCTACGGCGGAGGAGGGGTTGACTGGGTCTGAGAGGCCTGTCAGAGGGAGAGATGGGAGAAAGGTTCTGTTTTTCTTAAGTAGAAAAACAGGCTGTGTTTGTCTGAATATTAATGTATGATTAATGAGCGAAAACATTCTGACCTCCCTGATTGAAAAGAGAGGTGATTGTTGATCTAGCACTTTTTTCTAGTTTCCCTCCAGTCTTTTCTGCTGTGAGATGGGGTAATGGAGTCTGATGGAGTATACATATGTGTGTGTGTGTGTTTGGGGGGGGAGGGACATGGCAGTCTTGAATATACATATTTATAAACCTCCAAATTAGCACCTAATAAATGTAACCAATGCCTAATTCTGAACTATTTCTAATAATATTTAACATGTAACTATGCCTGAGTAGATAAAATAATTACAACATTTGAACTAAGAAATCCATGAAAACCTTTCTTTTTTCAAGATAGTCTTAATGTGTCTGGTTCTTACATCAATTTGAAGAGTTTGTAAGAAGGTTGGTCTTACTGAAGGAATTCTTTGCACTTAAGGATTAACCTTTTTTCCCCCCCTTTGTTTATGTGTCACGCTTGCACTTCCCATGGTGCATGCAAGCTGGCCTCGGTGTAGTTTAGCAGTTGCTTCTATTAGGGGCAACTTCTTTTACTTTTCTGATTAGCTCCAACGGAAACCAACCCAACTGTTTTTCATTACTGCACCCAAAGCACTCTTCCTAATGACCCAGCTTGTTTACTTTGAACTGGGATCTTAAATAGCTCCATTTTCGATTAGTCTTGCCTTTCTATTAGTTCTTGAACATAGCTGACAGTTGATTTTGCGGCTTCACATTACCGATTCTCTTGTAATCTAAAAATTTGTTTTTTTGTTACTTTTTATAGTAAGCAGAACATAGAACGCTTGAGATATAAAATTACACGAACATTTTCATTTTTCTTTCCTATGTTGTGGCATTAAAGCGAAACAGACCATGTCAAGATGTGAAATCCCTTGAACAAGCAGTCTGTGCTGTGCATATGGTGTGTGGATGTACTATACACACAACCACACACATGTATATGTGTGTGCGTGTGTGTATGTATGTTACTCCATCAGTCATTTACCTGCTGATGTATGTTGTCAGGGGATAGTGTGTACAGTGATGCACTCTCACTTGAGTTTCCTGTTGAATTTTGTCAACTGTCAACCTGTTTTAGCTCCTCAGACTGAACACAGTATGTTCGGCATAACTTTGTCAGTCTGCTCTCTGTACTGTTTGAATGTGCACACTGGATTGATTGACGTCAGATGAGAAGGAAGTATATGAAAACCACATGAGCTTTTTTTTTTTTTCTTGGAAAGATTTATTTAATTTTCCTCTTCTTTAGTTGCGGCTGTAAGACTTTGTAGTACCAGTAAGATTCACAAGGAGGCACTGTTCCGTCACAGTCTGAGTGCTACAATTCCGTCTGCTGTGAACCAAACTCATGTGTGATAGGACACACAAACACACACGCATACACGCTGAGAGGCATAAATCTGGGCCTAATTGAGTCTCCCCAGCCACCGGGTCTCTGTAGACCCAATAATAACACCCTCTCCACTGGTCTGTTCCTGCCCAGTCCTGACCTGCTGCCAAAAGCATGCACACACATTCAAGTTGTCAGTGTGAAATTTCTTCTTTTACATTTCTACTCTTTCACATATTACTCTAGTGATAATGTTATTTGTTCTAAAGAAAGTCAGGACTCTTCTTTTTGTGTGAATACATTTACTTAGTGAACATTTACAACGTTAGCACTTTGCTCTTTAATGAGTGTAGCCTCCTACTAATTGTTTTTTGCTGTTCTTCTTTATCTTCAACCCTCTTCCCAAATAGTTATTTTTTGTGCTATTTCTCCTTTTGCTAACTTTCTCTTCCCATTGGATTCTTAGTTTTGTCTTGTTTGCTTGTCTGTCCATCGGTGTTTCCCACTCTCCCTTTCTTCCCCTCCAGGCTGATGTGCTATCTGGGGTGGTTTGGTTTCCCGGATGGAACTTTGTAGGCCTGCATACTTGATTGGCCACTTTCAGCCTTCACTAACAAATCCCCTGAAGAGTAACATTAGAGGGTTTTTTACCAGCAAGCACGCACACACACACACACAGACACACACACTCATACACACACACCCACACATGTTCACACACAAATTCCCTGCTGAGACTTGGGGATCAAATACCTGCTACACTCTATTGATCTCCCAGCATGTTTTGGGTGGAAAACCATATTTCTCTAGAAGGCTTTGGTTTTCTCTGATTTTCTATTTGTTTTGTCACACTACTTTATCACACTGGTGACAGATGTGTGTTTGCATGTTTGGTCCTTTTACTGAGGGAGAAGGGATGTGCAGGGACTGATAAGAGCATGTGTGTGCACAGGTGTGAATGTGCTTCTCTATTTAGAAAATAGAAAATTGTACATGCTTTAGTTTTTAAATGTTGAATATGGCACTATTGCCGGAGGCTAGAACTGAACCTTTTGACCGTACCCTTCAATCAAGATGGTGGGACTTATTGCTATAGTGTTACGTTTGATCCTATTTATTCCATATGCTCGGCAAACTGACACATATGGAGCAGAAAAGGCACTCTTTGATGACACGCTTTCTTGCATGACTTAATTTTCCCCCCACTGAGAGACAACAGTTTCAAGATTTGTCATCGATCTGTTGTTGATAAAGAGTTCATAGGCGCTTCAAGGGACAGAAAAATGTCCAAAGGCAGTGAAAGTGACGGACATGGACTGGATGGCTTAACCACACTGAGAGTAACACAGTATGACACATATGGTCAGTGGAAGATTAGGACTTTGTGAGCAGTGGGAATACCGGTCTGTGGGAGGCGAGCTCTGACATCAGTAATCCCTCTTATTCACAACTAACATGGACAAGGGGATAAGGTTCTTGTCTTCTATCATCTCAGCTCTGTTACAGAAGTGAGAAGAAACATGCTATCTCACCCTATTTTTTCTTTCCATTTCTAAGTTTTCTGAACTCTGAAATTAGCTTTCTAAATCTGAGTATTCCCTCCGCTTGTTTGTTGCTTTTATGGTTTTTCCTCTGATTCCCTTTGCTCTGTATAGACTTATTTCCACGTGACATTTTGATAAAGTATGTGTTTGTATCTTTCATCTCTTACTGAAGAGGGCATTGCATGCCAATTTCTATTAGCTGCTGCAGCCCCCCCCCACCCCACCCCAGCACTGTGGGCTAGCAGTTTTCTTGCTCGTAAAAGCCCATGTGTCTTTACGTCTTTACCCCCATCACCTGAAGCTTGTACTGTTTCCGTTGAGTATGATAAGCCTCTGCGTTTTTGGATGTGGATTGAAAGAGCTGTTTATCATCACCAAAGTGCCCCTTTGGGTTTGAACCACTCCTTCATTACCGCAACCCATTTAAGTAGCTCGGTTGTCACCGAATCAGACTGTGGTTTTTCTGGGCGGTGTCTGGATGTGAATATATTTGACTGCGTTGGTGCACACATAACCATTTTAAAAGAAGAAAATTCCTCTTACTCTCCTGTTCAAATAACTGTTTGAATGTGTTTCAAACTTAATGTGTGGCTAGATGGACAGAGTTTTATGTATCTGAAAGTATGTTTGCCTTTTGTGTGGGCATGGCTGTAGGCCAGGGCTACTATCAATTATTGATAGAAGAAGCTTAGCGCATGTGCTGGCAGAATGTGTTGCTAAGCAGGAGCTTTACCATGCCAGAGACATTTGAGAGAGAGTCAGGAAAACAAGTGGGAGATGAGAAATCACCATGATCAAACTAAAAAAGAGACAGAGAGGGGTTTTTATGTTGCAACTTTGAATGTGCTAACTGCACGTGAATTAGAAAGGTAGAAGAAGATAGGGCAGAGAAAACAGACTTTAGTTGTTTATTTTTACATTTTAAAAAAATAAGGGACAAGACTGAAGGCCATAGAAAGTTTTTTTTTTCTACTTTTTTGCTGTGGATTATAGAATTCTCTAAAAATACATAAGCTTAGATCAGTGACGTAAAAAGGACAGAAAAGGACAACAGCATTGATTGGTGGGACATATCAGTAGATATTTTCAAGTGACTCGCAAGCTGCCGGTGTTAGAAATTGGTAAAGATGATGAGCCGGCAGGCATACTTTTACCGAGTTCCTCCGCAGGAGCTTCATCGGCGTAATCAGCTCCAGGCCGAACCAGCTAAGACCAGGGCACTGCAGAACGTCATTGATATGAAGGTAGGGTGGAGACTGGATCTCAAAATCATAGGACCAATTAGTATTTCATTTGTGTGCTCCATGCGTGTTACAAAGGACTTTTGTTCTACTTGATCAATTCTCCAATTGGTGGAGTTTGCCTGCGACAGCAAACTCAGCTGTTTTGTGTGTTGTGGTGCTGCTGTGATGATATTTAGTCAGAATTCTCACTACAGTGCTCCTGTTTTTTTCATACTTTTTTGGCCCTTTATTTGCTTTGAGTAAATTTCACCAACTTACAATTTCTCCACACTTGTTAATTTATGCTGTCTTTCAGTGTATTTCTTTAAAAAAAAAAAATGTTTACGTTTTTGTGATTTTTTTCTAAATGGATGGAAAATCCAATAAATCATTCAGAAACTTTGACTTTTTTCAACCTCATATCACTTTACAAATTCAATTCATATCAGCCTTTTAGAATGAATCAGCAAAAATCTAAGGCCTTTCACTCATTTTTTTTTTCTGCCCCCCCAGCTTTTTTCTGCTAATTGTTGTGCTTCTTCGCCTTTTCATTAAACAGATCGTCATTCTTACTGCTGTTTCACAGGCGCAGCTCTTTCTAGTTTGATATTTATTTCACACCTCATAGATCTGTAATCATTCCACCCCTTCATCAACCACTGAGGATCTATCTCAGGTGTAAATGCATAGTCAGACATTCATTCATAAGCAAATAAAAGACAATCCTTTATTTTTTACATGCCATCTGTATGGCAGCCATGCCCTAGTAGAGTCCATTATTAGCCCATGCAGCGTTGAGTACTTATTCAATTTGTTTCAAATGTCACATATGGAAGCTTTCACTCTCATCTCAGCCCTTTGAAGTCCTTAGTGCCGTGAAAAATGCAGTTGACTCCACATGTGTCCGTGTGTACTCCCCTGCACACACATACTAAGTGTTCATTCAGCAAAAGCTTGTTCCAAAAGTGGCTCCTTTACAGCAAAACCACAGTTATTTTTCACACATACTTTGCAATTTGTCTGCCTATTAACAAAGTGCACATGTGCAAACCAAAGATGCCTACGGTGTTGTAAAATCATAGAAATAGACGAATTGAGTCAAACAAAATTCAATTTGAAATAAGAAGACAAACTTCATTACATGAAGGATTTCGCAGTGGAGGAGTACAGCAAAACATACCTATATCATGCTTGGGGTTACGTTATTTTATGAACTGACCTATGTTTTTGTTGTGAAATGGTGCAAACATTTAGTTATCAATTTGTCTTCTGTGCATGTCTGTGTCTAAAAATGTATTTCAGTTGTTTCTTTTTCTAAGAGGTGCATATGTCCACTTTTAATTGCAGAACACAAACCCTCCTTTCTGTTTTGATCCTGATGTTATCTGGCAGGTACTGTACTGAGTGATCATGTCTTGATCTTTTCATTACCTCTACATTAGCTACTGTTATGCAGTGTTTGTATCCAAAACCTTCCTTTTCTTATAAGTTCTAGCTGGATGGAAGTGCAACAGTTTATTTGATTTTTTTTTAAACAAAGAACACGATGCAAAAGTTTACGTTTTAGTGACTTTGATTGTTATAGGCAGTCTGTTGCTTTGAAAATGCTATCACTGGTAATCATCTGTTTCCGCTTTTTGGTAGTATCTTAATTCATATCCTTGAATGGACAGCAAACCCAAACACAGCTTAACATGTACAAATCATGTCTTGGACTCATCTTTCTGTGTATACAATAACAATGTATGTCCTTGAGTTTAATCTTTTGAGTGTGTTTGGTTTAGTAATTTACCCACATTTATTAATTATTGCTTTGTGCACGTGTGAACTTTTAGGAATGTATATGTAACAGCTTGTGTTTGGCAGGTCTGATGTCAGAGGATGTAATAGAGGTCAGATGCTTACATGATGACTGTGGTTTATTCTGATGGCATCATGCAATCTGCTTCCAGTTATTTAATTGTGTTTCCCTTCTCCTCCAAGGTTTAGCATTTAACATATATCTGAGCCCACGCAAAAACCTCTGGACCTGTCCATGACAGACCTTTCCATTCCCTCATAGAGATACTACAGGCATATTCATATTTCTTGGCTGTACACAGATGTATGCTTTGATCTTTGGCCTCATTTTCTGGTCAGACATAGTTCTGCACATGTAGAAGATATTCAGATCAGGCACTTGATGTTAGAGCTTTCATATTCGCAAATGTGAAATATTCTGCTTTTTATCATTTTTTGTACAGTACATATTAGTTAAGATTTATCACAGTACCTTTCACCTGTTGGTTGTCTTTTATCTATACTGTATGTGCGATTTTGTGCAATTTAATTGATTCATCAACAGACGTCTCACTGATAGAGTGAGACAGCTGCTTTTTTTGGGGCCAGTAATTGATAAGCTTACCCTGCTCTTTGCTGATTCTTTGCGTGCCTACTGTTGCTGGTGTAGGACACCAAGATCTCTTCCCTGGAAAGAAACATCAGAGACTTAGAGGATGAGGTCCAGATGCTAAAGACCAGCGGCCTGCTGCACCCTGATGACAGACAGGATGAACTCAAGCAGGTGGAAGTCTACAAGAGTCACTCTAAATTCATGAAAACTAAGGTAGACTATGCGTGCATGTAACTCAAGCTGCAACTCGCTGCATGATCCAAATGATGCATGCATGTCCCAAGACATAAGTGGATTTTTTTTGTGGTAATGACTTTGTTATATGTCTCTATTGCATGCTTGTGGACAAAGAGTTTGAAGTGTGAAGGAACCTTCTCCCAAAGTGCATAAACAGTATCTTCTTTCTTTTAGCTGCTTTTGACTCAGAACCCTGATGATGCATGGATGCCAAAAGTGTCTACACTCATTTCTTATCGTATATAAATTCCTGGGTTGTAAGAAAGGAGTGCGACGTTTGTCTCGTCTATTTCATGCATCCCATTAAGTTAATTTTTGTTCTACCTGCCAAAACTGTGATGACCAGTTATTTTACATCTGTATTTGTGGCATCTGTTCTGAGGTAGCAAACTCTGGAACTATCAGCTTTCAATGCACCGTGTCAGTTTACCGTGTGGCTTGGGGTTTTCAGCTTTGTCTTGGGAAAGGCCTTACCAAGAATATTCCGTCTAAGGCTACATACACATTTTGCACATTTGAATAGCTCTGAGCACATTGGGGCTCAGGACATTGGAAAGGTCATAAAGTTGGAAACTACCTCCTGTAGTTTACATGGTCAAATATCCTTGGGCAGGTTCTGAACCAAACTAAAGTGCTGTCGTTTCAGTTGTGTGTGAGTGTATGCATGACAGAAATGCTGCTGCATGTGAAGCATGTGTTGCACCATGAATATGTGTGTTGAGATGGTGAATACAGATGAAGTATAGAGTAATTAGAAATTAATTATGAATTATTAGTCATTATTAACAGTGGTTGGTATTAACAGTCATTTCTACATATGTAATCCCAAATTAAAACTACAGTTTCCCTGATTTAGTACTTGACCAATAATTCTTCGGTCACCATTTGTTCAAAGGAACTGGTTGTCCCTCCTCTTCCTGACTCTACTGGAGCGTTCCTCCTGTTAAAAGGGAGTTTTCATCTCCATTGCAATTGCATGTTCAGGATGGGGCCAGAATGGAAGAGTTGCTTTAATGTGACCTTCTAGTTTCCTTTGCAAGGCTTTTTTGTGTCTCTTATTTGCTAATATGTTAATTTAAGTAAGTTGGTTTGAAAATGTTCTTTCTATAAATGGACATTTATTGGACTAATTTGATCCTGTAGAAATATTAATCTGATTGAATTTCAAGTTTGAAGATTTTCTATCCATATGTCTGTGATTCCTGAGGCCCATAAAATGTTCGACATGCGAAATGGTGTCTCTTGGGTTTATTAATGGTGCTCTTTGTAGGGCCCATTTGTCATTGCATTGGGGAAGTTCCTGATGCAATCATAAAAGAGATGTTTTTGTGAATGGGGCTCTGACAGATGAATGTGAGCTTACAACGACAGAGGAACAGAGGAAGGAGCTCTCTCCTCACCCATGATATCCATCACAGTGATGGCCCTGGCTCACTCTTGCATGTCTCATCTTTCTACGTACAGTCACACTGAAAAGCAGACCATCGCCACACATACGGATATGCACAGATTCATTCTATATCCTTGAAGTGTTTAGGGTCCTGGTCTTTCAACGGTTGCAGTGTTTGGTGATGAGGTGCAACTCTGATAAGAGAAACTGGAGAATGCGGCATCCCCGTCCTCTCCAGTTTCTTCTCTGGACTTTGATCTGCTCAAACACTGGAAAATGGCTTCTAAGAACATGGGACAGTATGCCAAATGAGTTTTGAAGAGGTGAATTTATTTATCTGAAAGATCAGTTCTTGCAGACCTTACCTTTCAGAGGCCTCAGCTGTGTGGTTGAGGAGTACAAAGTGATGGGCTGTGTTCTGCACATGGCCAGGGCTTTAGTTTAGGAGCTTGCAATCCTCTTGTCTCTGTGTCTTCATAGGAGCAGGCCTTGTCACCATGTGTGTCTTCCATCAGACCAGCTCCCACCTTCTTCCTTCCCACCCAACAGCCTTGGATCACAGAACAAGCAGAAGTACCCCTATCATTAGTCCCTCTGCTCTCTCATTATTTTTTTTTCATCTCTAAATAGTCTTTGGAATCTTTGCTCCTTATTGCAATGATTATGTTCTGTTGTTACCGTAATTTTTAGTCCAGTTTTTTTTTTTATCCCTCCAGGACCTAGTATTCTCTCATCACTCTCACCTGTCTTTTTACCGCTCACATTTATGCCCTTTGTCCTCTTTTTCCTCTGCTCCCGTTATATTTTTCGGGGCTCTAAGGACTCTATGTGTGACCAAATTTGTGTTGGCCAACCTCTGGTCTACCCAGGACTCAAGAAAGCCCCATACAACTCACAATAGGAGAAATCTCCCCTAGAATCAGCTTCGTGCATTTTTGGCACCAGTCGACAGATTCCAGCCTACTTAGCTAGTCTCAGTACAGAAATCTCCCTCTGTTTCTGTGTGCTTTTCTGTTATGTTTGATACAGCTTTCTTTGAAACAATCAGTCTGTCACCCAGAATGATTTTTTACCTTTTGGCTGTTTTACTTGGTGTATCGCAACAATAGGCCTGAGACGTCTGAGGGAGGATTGATGATGTGGGCCTGGGTCATGGTTCATTATTGCAGTACATCATCTCCGTAATTAAATGAGTCATAACACAAGTGACATATTTAGATTATAGTTACTGATTGATTAAATGCGCCAAAGTAAATCTCTCTCTGTCTCAGAAACATTTCATATTTTCTTTTTATCAAATAGATAAATCAATACATAGCAGTCAAAGTATTTCTAACAACAGCATGATTGACTTAATTCACTTCTAAATCCATGATTTTCAATAATTTAAGAGCTATATTAAAATTGAATTTGTCTTTACTTCTCATTGTAGTAAAGAATAGCTTGTAGCCCTGTGCTGCACTTAAGAACCTCTTCAAAACTTCACTCCTTAAAACAGAAATTTGTGAAATGCAGTGAAAATACATATATTGTTTCTTTCAATAGTTGTGAGCGTAGTAGTGTCAACAAAAATAAAAAGAAACACATTTTACAATACTTTCTAAAGGGATTAAAGAACATGTCTGTATGGATATCAGCTCGCTCTCTGACGCCTCAACGGTTTCCCCCAGTAACATTTCTTTGTGTGTACATGTGTGTCTTTGTGTGTGACTGACAGATAGAGCAGCAGAAGCAGGAGCTGAACAGGAAGGAGTCAGAGATGCAGGCCCTGCAAACAAAGTTAGAAACGCTGACCAATCAAAACTCAGACTCCAAGCAACACATCGAGGTGCTAAAAGAGTCCCTCAGTGCCAAGGAGCAACGCGCCAATACCCTGCAGACCGAGGTAAGAGTCTGCACATTTATGCACGTACAAATGCATGTAGATAACAGGATTTACTGGGGTACAGAGATTCCTGAATAACAAAATTATTTACAAAATGTTGCATTGATGATGCTATTACTTTCTGACATAGCTGATAATATCATGAATATAAAGTCTATTAATTGTATTCTCATCCTTCCTACTTTTCAGTGTATTTCTTGATAGCTCTCTGACTTAAGTTATTTAGCCTATTTACACACAAAATGGCTCAGAAAATATTTTCTTCGGTCCAGATTAATCTGTTCTTGATAGATAAAAGAGGTTATCAGTGTATCTTACGTTAAACTGTGCATGTGCACATGAGTTTGTCCTTCTTCCCCTGGATTCAACTTCTTTCTGTGTCTTTAATGGGCATTGAGGTGGGTGGAAAAATGTCTGTGTGTGGTTTCTATAGTCCACCAAGGGTTTGTTAGTATGTGGGTGGGTCCATGAGCCGGCTGGAAGAAAGTTGGCAGATTTTTTTTCATCATGTTTGAAGTTTCTAGACTATGCGGCTCTAATGATTTTATCATCGCTGTTAGGTATGGAAATGGATTGTGTGAGGAGAAACCGATGTGTGTATAAACGTGTCTTTTTGTGTGTGTATATGTGAGCATTTAGCATTTTTCTCCATCACTCTCCGAGACTTGGAACTGATACTTTAGATCTCACTATGTTCAGCAGTTGAGAGCGGCCTGCTAACTATGTCCACTCATCATTACAGGAAGCAATTTGAGCCAAAATTAGGCCTAATTGTTCATACATGTGCAAAGAATTTTGACTCTTGCTGTTAGCTGAATACATCATGCTTGAAGGAATTGCTTTTCAGTGGGTGGCTTTTATGTGTGTCCATGTTTACCAGCCACAAATACTGAGCTGGTATTGTTTTCACCTTTTGATTCTCTGTGTCTTTGAGCATTAGTCATCACAGCAATATTTCGTTCCTGGTGACATCTGCTTCTGCAGAACATAAAAACGTAATCCCTGATATTTTGCTAGGTCATTATGTGTCAGTAATTGGTCAGAGTTTGTCAGACCTCGTCAAATAGAATGCTTTAGAGAGGTATCATATTTTCAAGAATACATTTTTATGGCATGATGATGTGGACTTTTTCCATATAGCACACATCTTTGCAAACATTTTCTTTGTAAATACCATTAGAATACATTAAGTAGGTCAAATAACTGTATCAACATTTTATGAGAATAAGTATTTTGAAAGGACAGGTTCTGTGTGTGTAGGGGTATCTGTTGATATCTGTGAATATGTATTTATGAAATACTGTTGTGTACATGTAGGAAGAAGGAAATAGCTGACTGTTTTGCTTCTGATATTTGGTGCATCACTGTACTGTTTGCTGGTCCTCACCTCTCATAGACTGCTTTAACGGGGCTGTAACAAGATCCAGATACCCAGAAATACACAAACACACAGCCGTCCTCACAAACCCATAGACACAAAAAAACACATATGCTGTCTGTTCTGATTGCTCGATTCCCATCTCCGGTCTTGAGTAATTTTTCAAACTATTGAAGTGGCTTCTTCCCCCACTTGGGAATGGCTTGGGTTTCCTGGACTAAGTGGGCAAACCAGAGGATGAGTAAAGATATTTATTGTGCCTCAGAAGACCAGCCATGGGCCTGCATTCCTTTGCTGTCTGTCTGTCAGTCATTCAGCAACAGAGGACAGTTATTCTCACAGTACCTCCTCTTTCCCCTCATTTCTCTCATCCACTCATGATATTACTTGATCTGCAGCAGTAGTTTGTTCCAGCTCTTCTCACATTGAATTTAGAATTCATGAAGAGCCCCACATGATCTTTTGGCAGTCTTATAACAACTTGCGCGTCATACCCATACAAATATATTGCGGAGCTTTTAGTTTATGCTTGTGTGTGTTATTGTCTGTGTAGGTTTTGTCATTCAATTTAGTAAGTGATACACTTGACATTCCGCAATACACAGACTGATGACTTGAGGGGTAACTTCATATTAGAAAGTATCTAAAAGCAGTTCACCCCAGGTTGGGATGGAGAACAAACTGGCCGAAGAACAGAGAGGGCACTGTGAGCGAGGCAATGAGAAAATGGAAGTGTACTTATTTGTCAGTCAAAGTTAAGGACAGCTTCTTAATGGGTGTGATTGAATCTGTCTTCAGATAACTGGAAAATGTGGAAAATAATGAATGTGCACTTGTATGTGAGCATTGTGAGTCTTCCAGTGTCTGTTGAAACTTAACCCTTTAATACAGTAGATCTGTGTGTCTTTCCTGTCCTGATGAGGACAATGCTGGGCTGTAATGATACTCCAGCAGATCAGGTAACCTATCAGAGGCCCTCCTGCATATTTAACCAGTCAGTAACAAAGGAACAGGATAGAAACCCGGTGGCACAAGAGTTGGGTTCGATCCAGTTTTCTGAGGGAAGATTGTTTTTGTATGTTCGCCATTTCTTAAAAATACAAAAACAG